AGAATGCTTTTCAGCCATATGGATGAATAATTATACACACCAGTAATTAAATTTGAGAAAAGACTAAGAGAATCTGCAGAAAAATAAGCATATCAGTGATTATGTAGCTCTCCTATACTTCTGTTCTTTTATTTTAAACCTCAATGATCGTTAATGATGATCCCTATTTTATCAGTTATAAGAGTTCCACTTAGCTCTTAACAGAGTTCAAACTATCCGTCATCACATTTCGAATTTCTAATATCCCCAATGTTAACTTATCCTTTTACCTATAAATAATAAATTCCGACTCATTTTATAGCACAAATATCACATTGTGGAGTTATGAATGTCAGCATTATTGAGAGAGTCCAAAACTACGACTGGACCGTTTTCTTATTCTGTCTAGTTTTCATTGATTCATTCAATTTTAAAGTTAGCAATCCGCTTTTTGAAAATTATTTACATGTTTATTGTTTGGAAAAAAAGACACTAGTCAGGCATTGTTAAATGCATTAGGTGAAATCTTGGCGAAGAGAAGTAAAGCACAAATGTGTAAAATGCACCAAATCGATATTTATTCAAGATTAATCCAAGTCAGCAGTTTTTGCAGTTGTGACAAATGTGATCCAAGTTTTACAAATGAGGCACTATAACAATAAATACAAAGTAATAAATCAACAGCCTTCAACTATGGCGCTTCTTACTAAAAGGTTTATTAAATGCAGGATTGAAAATAATCCGGAAATTACGAAAAAAGGCTAAACAAGGTAAAATGAACACCTGGAGCAAAGGGCACCTGTTAGTTAGAACACAAAAGACTAAATAACCATGGCTAAATGTTATTATGTTTAGGTCAAAAAGTAGAGAAGAGTCAATGACAAGATTAACTATAGTTTAAAAGTAAAGAATCAGCTTAACATTAATGAATCAAAGAGAAAGGGAACACATTAAGTATATGTAAGAAAGAGAAAATGATAAATCAGATACAGGATAGAGCCTGTATTGCACAAACAATGTGCGCATATTTGGTGGCTTATATTGGCTTATAATGCGTGTGACTTAAAGCACAGGATGCACATATGCCAGTAAGAGAAAGATCAATTTCAGTTCTAAACGGCAATGGGAAGATTCAAACAAACAATACAAAATGAATTTAGATAGACAGATATAATAAGATTTTTAACTCTTAGAGTTTTGGAACAGATACTATTTTAAGCTTCCCATCCGATTCGCTTGACGACACACCTTTACTAGAATAACTGACCTGTCTGTTTTTTTCCCTCCATATAAATAAGTTATTTACATGAACTGATTGTTTATGATCAATACATGGATTATCGGAAGTATTGGTGAATTCTCTAAGATTGAATAAAATATGGTTGCCAAGTTATATATGGTTTTGATTTTAAAATACTACGGTAAAACAACCAATAAATACTAATTTTTTTCCGAATTGTGTACTTGACACTACCTTTTTACTCATTTGTCTATTGTAGACTACGTTAAGAAGCGGTTATTTGAAATGGGAAATATTCTTAGATAGATCGATTGATTGGCTACTTACCAAGCAGTTATTTAAAAAAAACAATAATCTGTTCCTTTCATAAATTTGGATAACGTAAAAAGAAGACGAAGATTGTCAGAATTATGTGGTACATTAGCTGGGCGATGTTTAATATCCGTTTTTCGATGTTCAATATCTGTGTGATATCAAGCGTTTTCAGGCATATTTCTGTTCATTTACTGGGTGACTGTCAGATATAAGAGCACACATTTTTATTAAGAATTTCAATTCAAGCTCTAATTTTCACTCTGTTTGATTTTTTTATACAGTAAATTGTGATGCGCATGTTCGTAGAAAATAAATGTAAGTAGCTTCAGATGATTTAAATGAAATCCCCAATGAATACTCTACTCTTACATTCCAGTACTCACCTACTAAATGAATGGAAATATACTCAAAAATGCTATATTCTGAACTTCTATTGGAAATTAAAAAAACTGAGAGGCAACCTGGTGCAACTATCACAACACATTTTGAACAATCTGATCACACATATATGCTCTATAAGCGATATTTGGATGACGTCGTAGTGATCTACGACAAAACGAAGAATATGAATTGTTTATTAAATAAACATAACGCTCACTTAAATTACATCAACCTTTCATGTGAAGAGAAGAACAACTAGTTTCATTTTCTAGATATATGTAGAAAAGATGGCTCAACCAAGCTAAACGTTTTCGGAAAGCCAACTTGGACGGGCCATTGTCTAAGTCTTTATAGTTATTACCTAGTACGATGCAAATTGAGATTGATAGACAGCCTATTTAATTGGATTGACCGTATTTGTACAAATGATACTGTTGAAAACGAAGTGAGGCTATTATTAAAACACCAGTGGAGAATGGTTATCTTCTAAGATTCACAAGTTGATGGAAAGGTTACAGTATGGTGAGACCTACTATACATCTGACACCATAAGAGCTTGTCTTCATTACTGTATTATTCAGAGGTGAGTCAACACAGACGTGTGTTGAAACAAAGGCTCAAAGCAGTTGTGAGTAAAACATACGACGCAGTAAAGATCAGTGTCCCTCAAAAAACAGAGTTCGTGGTTTATCAATGGGTTTCAATGGTTATCTAATAAAGGTCACTTACTGATACCAACCGATAATCCCAGTAGTCTCCCATACTTATAAAGCCTATTAGTCGGTATCTTACTGAAATGTCTTAGTTCTATACCTATCAGAATTGATCAACTGTAGTGTGTTGCAACTACGCATGCCATTTATTCATAATCTCAAGATCTATGGCAGATAATCTGAATTTCTGATTGGAGGTTCGAAGAAATCTCATGTACTATCGATTTTGTGACAAGGGTAAGTAGATTCATTCCGAACAGTGTAAGCACAAGCACAGAATCGAGATTATGAATAGGAAAAAACTCACTGTGCATGTTGCATAACTAATTTATCTTAAACAAAATCTATCACAATACGATATCAGCAAACATAATCTGACCCCTGATTTATAAGTAATTTTATTTTTACCTATCTAAACTTTTATTTAATCAGAAACGGGTTTTGTGGATATTATAGTAATTTAATGGTTGAGTTCGTGAGTCGATTGAAGTTAGACCACCATGGAAAACCTGAAAGTACTGGAGGGCCGTTTCCTCTGAGTGTGGGACTCCTCAGCCATGCGCATCCACGATCCCACACGGAGGACTCCAACCCAAAACCTATAGGTCCCGCGCATGAACACTTAAGCTGTAGACCATTGAGCCAGCATCCAACGGTGTCAATGTGTAACTTCAACCAATCCACGATATTGCGTGACCGTCCATCATTGTCTCCAGTGAGTAACTGCCTTACAACAGACCCTGTTGAACTCCACTGGTCACAACTTCTCACTTGAACTCCAGGAAATACATCTTGAAGCCAGTCACTACTGAGCATATGATGATTATTATCTGATATTATATAATCAGTCATATTTATGCTTAGTTATACTGAATAATTAATACTATTTTCTTTCTTATGACTTTCAATCTGTTGTTTTAACGTTCGATGATAGTCATATATATGTACGAACAAAATCTCAATCAAATGCACTTTATATCAAGTCACATAGATCGGTGACCATATTGAAACTAAATCAATAGAGTCCAATTAGTATCAAGGACTAAGTACACATGACAATGACCACTAGCCAAAGATCAATCTTTGTAAATAACAGTCCTACAGACGATATATTGCTGCCTGAACAGTTCCTTAATAACTTCCCAGACTGCGACACAGGAAGACTAAGGTTCAAATTTCACAGGAAGCATTAATTCCCTTAAGATTATAGGTTAATCATTTTGAAGCGAGATTAGTAAAAAAACTAGGTTCATGGTTTCCTACTAAGTACCTCCAACAGCCTACTAGTAAAAATATTATAACACATGTCTCGTTTCAGCTTATATTCAGTTATCGTATAAAATAAAATAATTCCGTGTTTACTTTGCTAAGTTGAATTTATACAGACTTGATATAATAAACACTAATTGAGTAATATAAAGGTGATATTTGATTTACTTGGCTTAGTCAGCAAACATTCAGATAGGTTACTTTTTAAAAAAACTAGTTTGAATGTTATTAATGTTTGGACTTTGATTTTAACTGTTGTTCAATGCAAGGTTCTAACATATAACTTAGTCATATACCTATGTCAAAGATGACAGTCGACATAGGAGTATATGCATTTGTAGATGATCAGAGTGATACAGACTATGAATATACTGGCGATTCCTTTGACTCGATAATTAATTCAGTCACTCATTTTAGCTATCTTCATATATGCATCTGACCTACATTATAATCTTAACTCAACAGTTCTTGTCCGACTTAAATTTCATTTAAACCCAGAAATTCATACGAATCTACGTTAAAATGTCTCTATTTCCAACAAGTTTTTTCCTGACTGACTTCATTCTACAAGTTGGTTCTTTGACAACCTAGCATCTTAATCCATGAATGTATTTCTTTCCTATTTTATAGAATGAAACAAGTTGCTTTCTTGTTAATCTTTTAACTTAAATTCTTCATATTTACTGAACAAATCGCTAACTAAAGTGAGTTAATGGCTTAATGAACAATGTCTTATTAGTGACAGAGATACTAGCGGATCAACAATAGGATACGAATATATTCAATTAACGAATCCCAAATAGGACATGAGTTTTCTAGGATTATACTGTTAGGTAATTTCTAAGAGCAACATAGACTTATATCTACCGACTACATATATATATTATTGTAACAACTCTTTAATAAGTCTACATCCAAAGGACTGATCAACACTCACATAAATCATGACAACTAATAATCATCATCCTTATACCTGAACTGATTACCTACATATGTATTGAGTACGAAAACTTGATTAGATTCAATCTACTACTACTACTACCGTGAAGTGCTACATTAATTACCTACGGTAAGACCAATACAGAAAATAATTATACAATTTTAGTAAATATTTGCATTTATTATTAGTAGCTAAGATTATCTTCCTTTTTTTCGAAAAAAAAAGAGAAAAACAAAACCACCTATTCTTGTTTCTTATTTTAGGCTTGAAAACAAATGGAGTAAAGATGTAAATCTTCAGAGAGAAACAAAGAAGAAAAAAATTGGAAGGTAAGATTAGGTTGGGTATATTTATTAATTCATATTCTTGATAATAATAAATAAATGAACTTGGTTCGTTGTTGATGTCATGTGTAGGACTAGTTAGACAAATGGGTGAAATATGGAAGAAAATTGTTTTAGTTGACTAGATAATTCAGCACAGAAATATCCTCATAATAATAATAATAGACATAACAAGAATATAATTAATTGGATAAGCACTTTTAGTAAATAGTTTTAGAAGCATTTACGGTGAACAATACCAGGACCAGATTCATCATATTCTTGTTTGGAAATCCACATCTGTTGGAACGTAGACAATGAGGCCAAAATAGAACCACCAATCCAAACGGAATATTTTCGCTCAGGTGGAGCAACTATCTTGATCTTCATTGTGCTCGGCGCCAATGCAGTGATCTCTTTCTGCATACGATCAGCAATACCTGGGAACATTGTCGTACCACCTGACAACACAGTGTTTGCGTACAGATCTTTACGGATGTCCACATCACATTTCATTATTGAGTTGAATGTGGTCTCATGAACACCAGCAGATTCCATACCCAAGAAACTTGGTTGGAACAACGCCTCAGGACAACGGAATCGTTCGTTACCGATCGTGATCACCTGACCATCAGGCAGTTCGTAACTCTTCTCCAGAGATGAGCTGGACGCGGCAGTGGCCATTTCCTGTTCAAAGTCAAGAGCCACATAACACAGTTTCTCCTTGATGTCACGCACGATTTCTCGCTCAGCTGTGGTCGTGAAGCTGTAACCACGTTCCGTCAAAATCTTCATCAAGTAGTCAGTCAGGTCACGACCAGCCAGATCCAGACGCAGGATAGCATGTGGTAGGGCATAACCTTCGTAGATCGGAACAGTGTGTGTCACACCATCACCAGAGTCCAACACAATACCAGTTGTACGACCCGATGCGTACAGTGACAGTACAGCTTGAATGCCCACGTACATGGCTGGTGTGTTGAACGTCTCAAACATGATTTGGGTCATCTTCTCACGATTGGCTTTCGGATTCAATGGAGCCTCGGTCAACAGGACCGGGTGTTCTTCTGGAGCCACACGCAATTCATTGTAGAATGTGTGATGCCAGATCTTCTCCATGTCATCCCAGTTCGTCACAATGCCGTGTTCGATTGGGTATTTCAGTGTGAGAATACCACGTTTCGATTGTGCTTCATCACCGACGTAGCTGTCTTTTTGACCCATACCGACCATCACACCCTGAGATATAAGGACAGATAAAGAGAGAGAGAGAGAGAAATAAGCATTCAAATCAAGCTTCAAATGATATTTCATTGTCGAATACAGTTGGCATATACCAACAACAACAACAACAACAATAACAACAATGTATGATTAGAGTGATTGTGATTAATGTTTCACAGTGAAGTAACATGGATGGATATCTCGATATCTTATCACTGTGTTGTACGTATCACAACTATTCTAACCGAGACATTGTTAAGTACAATCCCATCAACTTAAAATGATAATATGACTGTAATATGATAATAGATTAATATAATTAAAATGAGAAATTGATTTGTTGAATGAATGTTATGACTATGCTTACTTGATGTCGAGGTCGTCCAACGATGGAGGGGAACACTGCTCTTGGTGCGTCATCACCAGCGAATCCAGCTTTGCACATCCCTGATCCATTGTCAACAACAAGGGCTTGAACTTCTTCGTCGGCCATGTTAACTTAGTTTGTTGAATTTGATAAAGGGCAATTAACTTGAGTGTGATAAACTTAGGAATTCAGTGGATTAACCCTAGATAATCTCTTATTTATATATGTCATCATGTTTGCACAATTGATGTCCATATATGGCTTTAATTTTTTAGTATATGGGAAGATAGTTTTTACTTCAAACAACCAATAGAATCGTAGATTAAGGAGATTATTATCTTCCTCTCTATCCTTCGTCATTAAGTGACTATATTTGTAGATGGCATTAAAAACACATTTATTGATTTATCCTAGTTGTGCACAATAAAGAGATGCAAACGTGAATGAAAGGTTACTATTTGTGTTAACCTCACTTCATTAATTCAATCAATAAAACATTCTTAAAATTAGAACTTTTCTGGACACAAACTGAATGATAGGCAATAAACCTTTTTATAAGGTACATATTAATTTCTTTCTAAAATATCGGCTTATGTTCTTTTTTGTTTGGATTCTTGTATTTGGCTCATTTAATTCCGTTATTCAGTAAGTCGATAATTATATACGAAGATCGGTGGTATGTATATTTTAATAGAAATCAGTAAACGATCTAATTGGAGTCAGATAAATGGCCATTACAATGCGTTGATAGAACAACAAGTCGACAATTTGAAGGTGATTTCAATTTAAATGTATTAAAATAGTTTTAAAACGAATGCTGGAAACCAGGAAACAGATTGCCTTACCGTTTATGAGAAATATTTCATTAAAGGAATTTTGATACCCTTTAGAATTAATGTTACTCATAAACCAACACAATCACTTCATTCTACTCAATACAGATCAAGAAATGCAAAAGCAGAATAAGACAAAGTCAATGTCACCTACAAAATAAATCGTACCAAATGAAATAAATACTACTTTAGGTAACGTGGATGGCCATTTCATGTAAGTATAAGTAAAAATGGTTTAACAGTGACACTAAATGATATGCTACCAATGTTACCAATATACGGAGATAACCGTGGACGTGAATTTGACTGGACTAATGTCTAAATTTCAGATCGGGAGAACTATAGAAAGAGTAGAGAATCTCTAGATGTGTGAGAATCAGATCAATTAGCAATCAATAGGCAGATCAGCATAGACTCAGTCTGTGGACTCACACAGAAGAGGTCAATCGGTCATAAGGCTGGAGTTTAATGGGAAAAGACAGTCAAAAAGAATCCAAGAACAAATAAAAACAATAAAATATGCAAAGACAGGTGGTGACCAGAAAAAGCATTAAATAAAGTGATATAGCACTCGTGAAATAACTGAAAAACTCATTTCTACACGAAGTAGGAGCTTAAGATGTTATTCATTAGAATAATAATGAAAGTTTCCCAGTTAAACTATATAACTTATGGAACACAACATTACTAAACATTTGAGAATCATTTTGTAATGACTTTATAGATTACCAGTTCGGTATAGAGTTCTGGAGATTGTTGAATTTCATTGAACTCACGAACCGTTCAAGGTTAGACTTAGAAGGTCTAGACGACCGTCTATTCTCGGTATCGAACTCTTTAGCAGCGCAAATTGACAACTCTCCATGCGAGAATTAAACCCAGGATCTTCGGCATCGAGGCTCGGTGGTCAAGAGATAAAGCATTCGTGTACGATGATGATTTTCGTCAATGAAATGATAAACGAGAAACACAGGAAAACTGTTTCATTCAGGTTCTAGAACCACCTTAATCAATAAACTCCAAACAGTGAGCATTTATAATCTGACAAGGTGTCGAAGCAACGAACTTCAGTTGCATTAAAGTTATCAAGATACTTCCTACTTAGGAGGTTGGGATCCACTGGGCTTTTTTAAAATTTCAGTCATTTTATGATACACAACTATCCACTATCCATTTTTAGTAAATATTAAGTAACATTATACGAAATATCTTTGAAATCACCTTAGTAACTAATAGTTCTGTGTTCATTAGTAACATTAGATGAAAGTGATTTCCTAAAGAAGTCTTTATGAGAAGCCGTAACCGATAGAATTACCTTAGTAAAAATAAAATTAATTATGGGATTGTGACTCGGTGGTTTTAATAGTATTTTGTTAACTACGATTCTTGAAAGAGTAGCTTGGTTGGGACAAATGGTGTGTACTGATGAAAAGTCTCAAACTAGAAGGAAACAGATATTCAATGCTCTTCCTAGAAAATAAAATGGACTATTGATTAAATGTTTGCTACGAGTTCTTCGGTTAGTTTCTCTAACAACTGGAAATAATAAACAATTAAAAATGAAACGAACTTATTTATCTGATGAAGACAGTTTAGAGCTTATGAAGGAATTACTATGCCTAATCTGATCTCGTTAAATCGACTTATGCAGAAAATCAATTCTTTGCACTTTAAAATATGCGATAAATTTCACACTACTTGTGAGTACTTTAAGAGCACTAATAAATGTATTGATGAATGTTCTGAATTAGTCTAATCTATGAAAAACTTTCGAAACTGATGTTCTCTCTTCGGACATACAGAGAGTGATACTTTGTTACAGTTCACATGTAGGAGTGTATATACTCTGGAAAATGAGTGTGTTATCTTTGATCTCACAACAGTGTCTATTACAGATGTCATTTCGAGATTCTAGTAAGAAGTTGTAACTGATAGAGACCAACCATGTTATAAGTAAGAAGATCGTCACTAATGGTATTGGATTATATTGGCGATATATCACGAATTAATTAAATTACAAATATATGGGTAATTGTATAAGAACTTTTGTCTAAATTTGATCGAATAGTTTCACAGTATTTGGGCAACTGTATTCTAGTTCATGAAATTCCTGGAGGAATCGAATATACTAGGTTCGTTCCCTAGAGCTTTCGCACTAGTAATCGGTTTCATAGTAAGGTTAAACGGACGTTTGATGCTTGCTAGTTCTAAAACCTAATCAATTAGTTCAGCTTCAATTACACTCGTAATGTTGAAGACTCTCGAAAATGTCTGAAGTTCATTTACACTACTTATAAGTAACCATATCGTCGAAGACGAAAATGTGTTCTACATTATTTATGGACTTCAACAGCAACTTGCTAATCGTTTTAAAAAAATTTGTCTATATTTTCAAACAGCACCAGTATAATTCCTGCAATTTACGTACAAGCTTGGGTTTAACTTCTTCTAAGCAAAGTAAAAGATAGTGGATGGTGAAATACTGATGATTCTTGAGAATATTGTAGGATTATTCCAGATAAAAATCACTTCACATAGTATACTGAACACAATGACTACATTATTGATGTGAACGTGTCGCGTCAGGGTATATTAAGAAATGTTCAAGTCATATTTTCAGCAATTTCTCTGATTGTCCTACAAGTCCTTAAAAGTATTAGGTAACTACACATAATCGGCAATGGGTATGAGCGAAAAATTGAATATCCGAATTAATACTCGATAATTCAGTATTAATGTTTATCGTGAATCTTGTATTCAATTCCACATGTTCAACAGTGGTTATTAATAAAGATTGGAAAGCAAATACGATACCGTTGTTCATAATTTTCATATGTTTAAGCAACCAATTAATGATGCATGTTATCACTGATTATTTAAATCAATATTTTGGAAATCTACTAAAATATTTCCAACTGCGTCACAAGACAAACCCTCACTTGGAATCCTCAAGACCAAAAGAGAAGAGGAAGACCAAAGAACATATTACGTCGAGAAATGGAGGCAGACATAAGAAGAATGAATAACAATTGGATAGAACTAGAAAGGAAGACCCAAGATAGAGTAGATTAGAGAATGCTGGTCGGAGAACTATGTTCTATTGGGAGTAACATGAGTAAGTAAGTAAGCACTAAGATATTTATTTGAAATGATATTTATCATTAGAAAGAATATAGACATCATGTTTTAAATTATTCTCTTAAGTTAAACTGTAAAGTAGATAATCATTCATCTGCTTTAAATGTGCTGTTGTTGTTGTTGTTGTTTTACTTTTCTTTTCAAAAGCACTTAATGAAGTTATATAAAAGACAAATATTTACATAACATTACAATCAATGAGTTCAGTGTTAGCTCTTTGTAATTCTAGTTTTGAATATGACAGTGTCCATATAAATTCTTCTATAAACTAATAAGCATTTAATTGATTGTTTTAGATAAGTGTAATTATTGAATCTAAATTGATGAATATTCTCTATTAAGAAAAAGAACAAACTCATGATGAATCACAAAAATGGAAAAGTTGATATATACATATGAATGACATAGTAAATAGATAGTAAAATACTATTCAACAGTTAGATATTTACAACTTAGCAGATAAATACTGTAATAAACCGTGTTATTACTTAGTTACTTACTTACTTGCGCATATTACTCGCAATGGAGCATAGACCTCCAACCAGTATTCTCCAACTCACTCTGTCCTGAACCTTACTTTCTAGTTTTATCCAATTGTTATTCATTCTTCTTATATCTGTCACCATTTCTCGACGTAATGTGTTCTTTCATCTTCCTCTTCTCTTTTGGTCTTGAGGATTCCAAGTGAGGGTTTATCTTGTGACACAGTTGGGTGTTTTCCTCAATAAACCGTGTTATAGCGACCTATTCTTTATTAACTAAATCGTATTTAAATAGTTAACAACTAAACTTAACAAACTCTTATTTGATAAATACATTCATAAAGAAGGTTTAGTGGATATGAGAAAAATAGCCAATAGTATATAAAAAAATTTCATTTGTATAGGTTTCTTATATGACGCCGGTAATATGATCTTAATGTGAGAAGACATACAAGATTCTTAAATCATACTCACTTTCCAAGTACTATGTACTATCATAATATGAACTATTTCTAATAACATCACCGAAAACTTTTATCGTTGTTTATTCATTGATTCACCCCACATATATTAAGTCATTGAATATATTAGGAAGATTTGTGAATTTCTACTTGTACAGACGTAGCAAATGAATTCAACCTAAGTAGGATAAGATCTATGAAGTCAATCTAATGCAATTTTAATACTGTCAGGTTAGTTCAATTATCGAGAAGTTCTACTATGTTGTACTTTTACAACCTTGCATTTCCAACACATGAAAGTTCGGAGAATTCCTCTGATCAGTTCAGATAAACTCTCGATTTTGATGATAACATCGATCAATTAATTTTTACATCTAACAAGGTGTATGAAGTGATGGTAGAGATGGTAATCCAAGAAGTATTATCCTCCATAAATGGTAGATTCAATGGCTTTATTACATTTACGCCTATCATCCCAGAACCTTTATTTGTAGATTCTAGAATTGAATAAAGAAAAGCAGAGAAGTGGTTAGTTTACTATTTGGTGCCTCATAATCAATGATCATTGCATCGGATTCGCATCAATTTGATCGTCATAACTCTCTAGATAAACACCCTGTAGTGTAATTTATCGGCTGGAGATGTTATCAAACATAAATCAAAATAAAAACCAATGATAATCTTGGTATGTTTATCAATTTCAAATTGTATAACGAGTGGAATATACTTCTTAATTGAATTAAATGTATCTTATTCATGTTGTTATGAGTTGTATCGCTTGATATTCACTGCCCCCAAATGCCCTGGTATGGCCGAGAGTGGGGAGAGTCCGCTCTCCCTCTCGAAATGCTCTCACATGGCCGCGCGTATACAGCCTCTGCCAGGGAAGTCCTACTCATTGCCTTCTCGTGGCATTACTGTTGTTTACGAAAATGAGAGGACGAAAAGCGAATGTCCGGCGCTTTAACCGGATTTCAAACCAATGGTGCACATGGGCTCCAGTATCCTGCGGGAACAAGTGGCGTATGAACCAATTGTTGGTCACCGGCTTCCATGGAACTGCATCTCCTCACGATGTCCACTGCCTTGTGGATCAGACCTTCAGGTCGAAGGCTCGGGGTGTGGTCCCCTAAGAAAACCACCTGATTCGGTTTGGGCACCCGGGCAGTATCACAGCCCGCACACATATCGAATGAGATTTGTGTGGCGCATATGTGTTTGGTGCCTCCTTGTACTAATATCTATGTGTTGAAATAAATAAGTAATAAATAATTCTGCTTATTCATTACATCAATATTTTTTCTTGTGACGAAATTATCAGTGTCATATTGAACCATTCGAATTTTCTATTGATCATAATACATAATTTGATTGTACATATGCTTCATCAGGATACTTTGAGAACAAGAATTATTCAACTGGATTTCAAATCAATCAACGCATTCTATGAAACAGTTACGTAAATGGACATTCAATAACTTAAACAGAAATCAAGCTGTAACACTAGGTTAATTAAATAGCATCAATTTTGAATCTTATAAATGGTATTTCTAGCTTTCGTTTAATCAATACAATGCTTTGATAGGTTGGATTCTAGTCCACTTTTGTATACACCGATCCTGTATTAATTTGTTTTTGCCTTTGTACAAAAAACGTTCTGAATCAAAAAACAATAAGTGATATTCAGTCATTACAGTAATGAGACATATCACCAGTGTGAATGGACACTAGGTGCGTTATTTTGGAAATTGACTGAATTCAGAAATGTAAACCACTGGTCTAAAACAAATTATGCTTTTTGTGAGACCTGCAGGTTTTAAATTCATTGTATAATGAATTTCTGAGCGAGTGCTGATGAAATCTTAACTAAAACAAGAAATATTCCAGTTTCCCATGACAACTAATAATGGTTTTCCAATTGCATTGTCAAGTTATGATCAATTCATGGAGTCACTGATTGTCTACCTAAGTTATGTTGGCAAATGCTTACTAAGTAGCGGGGGTCAAAGCGATTATTGTAACTAGTGATTAGAGATATGGAATGAAATGGCTCATATTCAGTCACAATGGCATATATGCACTTAATTTTTGTCTTACGTTTCGAGTTTTAAAATTATATTGTACTTCTAATCCCGTGAATTCATTCTGTCTTGTTAAATCACATAGTCTTTTCTACTATCGCTGATACTATTAATACTTTGGAACTTGTCTTAAGAAACTTGTCTCACTATGTTGATATGCTATGACAGCTTGAATCAATGTACATGTACCAGGTTCAACATTCTTTATGACCAACTGACCAAAGGATAAACGCAAAAAAACATAAGCAGTGCATGCTAACACTAAGATTGAGACAAATAAATACTAAGGAAGGGAAAACGTTGTTTTAATAGGCTATATCAGTACTAGCCAATAAAATGACCAAGTAATGCGAAACCCCTATAACACTTGACAATGATGGTTAATTTCCATTTTTTTAACAAAAGTGAAACAAACACACCGAATACCATTAAAACAACTTGTTCACACTTATTATACAAACGCGCCCCCGTGTTATTAAACGACCTTTTACACCTTCCTCATCCTCAAAGCTGTCGCCCGCTAATTAAGAGAAATCGTATAGTCTGTTATGATTGACCGATAATAAAAGTCAGTAACATTTGTAGTGATTAATTTTTCAATAATGTTATACCTAAAACTCGGATTCTTGAGATACCGTGCACAACTTTAGCACTCGGACGCTTGAACCGTCCAAGTCGCATGTTAGAAGACAGAAGATGGGTGGGAAAAAACCTTATTCTAATTAGTGTCAAATATAGTACAAAACATTCAGGTATTTATAGTTTTTAGTAAGAACGAAATCATCATTACAGCCATCCAATCCGCATCCAGTGGTTTTTAGCACTTGTCCAATCGGGAAGCTACACGTTGAAATTCCGCAATGTTCCTCCAAATGAACATTCTATACAAATGTCTTCGGTTGTTTCAGAGCTTCCTTCAGTTAACCCGGAGCCGTCTCCGCAAATAACAATGAGTTTTAGTAATCACACTATCACTAGTTTAGATTCAAGCTATTGAACGTGATTACAACCCGACATAGTTTGTTTTTGAGCTTGCTATGTCTTTACAAATTTAGGAGAAACAAAAATGTCCACCTTGATATATTGAGGATATATTTTGATAACACTTAAACCAATCAATAAACATTTTAGGATTTATGGTTGTACTCACAAAACTTATCGTCAAGAGTAAAGAAATAAAACTTCAATCAATTTAATCTAAGACAAACACATTGACTGATAAATACAGATCGTAAAAAGAACAAATAGTTATTATTAATTACTATAATATATATATGTATATTTATATATTATAACTGTCATTATCACTCAGAGTTCAAATCCGAAAAAGAGACAACAATAACAAAAACTCAGAAATAACATTGTTATTAAGTAGTAATGATAATTAGTAAATAATAAACAAAATTATTGTGAATGTGTCATTCAAGCTTCTTTTTTCCCAATGTATTCATTTCATATCAATGAACAGTTTACATTTCTTTTAATCATATTCACTAAACATCTGAAGAGTCAACACTACCACCAACACCAAAAAATACCATAAAAAGGCATAGAAAAAAGGAAAAAAACAAATTTAAAAATAAAATATACACAGCATAAGCTGGGTGGGGTGAATGGGATGAATGAATAAACTGGGGTAATACATTATTATATATAAATAGAGATAAAAAGAAACCCTAAATCTTTTAAATATATTTGTTTTACATAAAATACAAGCAAAAGAGGCTATTTATGTCAGATACACACATGTATATACTCCCGACACGAAATACTGTCTATGAGGTATATAGATTTTCTTTTTAAAAAATGTGTGTAAATAATTAAATAATCAATATAGAACTAGGAAAAAGACACAGGGAAACGTTATTGTTTTTATTTTTTTTAGAAAAACAAACAAACAAAACAGAATATTAAATGAACCGGTTGTATTTATCAAAATACATACAACGGATTGACGGTTAAATGGTAAGATAAGTAAAATATGAGGAAGATGAGGAGAGAATAAGTTAAAACAACTAAACCGAATACCTGAGAAATATACATATATCGCAGCATAAAAGTGAAGTAATCCACCACTAATTCTCTAATATAAACAGATATAATATATTTTATAACTAAGACATTTAGTATAGAAAAATAGGGACAGATTTCAATGTAACATTAACGCAGCGACAATTTACAACATTTTTACTGAAGAATCACTGTCAAAACCACCGGTATTTTTTATACCGCCTCTCCCCTCTTCGTAAATCTTTACATTATTTAGTACACATACATCTCAGTCATATAATTGGTATATGGATAGGAAGAAAAATAAATATTGTAAATTATAAGAGGTAGGCAAGTAAGTAAGTGGAAACCACTACATTGTTACATATATATGAATTAGTTAAAAGTGTGGAGGGAGAAAAAGTGGTGGTGTAGTAATGCCCACCCCCATCAAAGTAAAGGCATGGAAAACAATATACACAGTACATACAATAAGAAAAACAACTACCAACCCCCTTCCCTCCAGATCTGTCAAATATTGTTAAATACCTAAGAGAGTAATATAATTAATAAAAAGAAATTCAAACAATGAAGGAATAAAATAGCTGTAAATAATTATAAAATTTTTCCCAATTGAAAGTTTCATCATTACCTGAGAATGATTATAGCAAGGTAGAACTATTGAAATATATAATAGAAAAAAATTGAATCTACACATTACAATACTTGAATGAATTATAAGCTAATTTGCTGCTGCCCCCTTCCTATCTAAGAAAAAAGCGTAAAAATCGCATATAAAAGAAAAACAGGTTAAACCACAGCCAAAATACACAAAAGATGTTTATTTTTCTTGTTCCAACGCTTAAAAACTTTTGTTTTTTTGAAGATATAAAGTTATACAAGGAAGCTTTAAAATTGAAGGAATATCATTCTGTACACACACACACACAGACGCATACATAAACAAACACAGCATTCACTCATTTCAATTATGTCATGCAGGAAAAAAACAATGGAATAGTTTTGTTTCTTTAAAAATTTGTTTACTTTCCGCAGGAGAAGTTAAGAAATAATCATACACAAGGGTAGGCGTGAGATGATGACATTTAAGCAGGGAAGAGAAAAAAATCAAGACAGAGAGGAAGAAACAAAACACAGGTAATAACAAACAGGAACTAAACTCTTTAAAATAATAATAATAATAAAGACCAATTAAGTATTCACTTGAAATATATATGAATATGTGTATGTGCAAAAATTAAAATGAACAAAACAATGATGAATTCATAAACAAGGCTAATTCAGTCGTTTTCACATGTTTTATGCTTTTGTACATAATTCATACGAAGAAAATTTTCCGTGAATACAAGCTGTGAAGGTAGATAGATTGGCTAATCAGTTAAAATTCGGTGATTTGATTATTTTATTATATATAAATAGATTTATTTTATGAAAATTCCAGATGAATAGTATTACTACTACTGGTAGTTGTAGACGACGTCGTCATCGTCGTTGTAGTAGTAGTAGTACTGATAAAATTTGAAGAGTCTACTTTTTTCACAGATAAATATGAAAATATAGATTCTAAATTATTTAACAGATGATTTAACTCATTAGAACATGTTAACTTTTCAATATGTGCAGCAACTGATTGAAAATTGGATAATTTCAATAATAAACGTCCCATTCGGCCATGTGGAGCATTTGGCCAAACTTGATTACAATAATATTCTAGGCCAGCGTAAACTTGATCACGTAACAATTCAATTGATGAACGAATATTATTAAGACAAGTCAGAGAATCTACATACATGTGTAAATGAATAAAACAAAGAGAAACAAAAGTGAGAGTATAATGTTTAAATGTTATGAATGATAAAAGGTATATTTATTAATAAAAAATGACATAGTAGTAATTTCGATGTTATATGAAGCATGATTATGTAATGAGGTATAGTCTGAACAAGAGTATTACTTATATAGATTTGGAGTGATTGCTTAATTGTTAGAGTGTTCAACTTAAGAATGAAAGCATCTAGTGCTTGAAGGTAGTCAACAGTGACCTAACTTAGATCGATCCATAATTTCAATGAAATTTAACAATCTCCACAACCCCATATCGAAAGTTATTTTAGTCACAGAGAGACAATATAGAAGCAAAATGTAATTTTTATATTAGTAGAAAGGAGTTCATCTTTCCAATCATTGACTGTCAACAAGTGAATAGTATGAATTTACCTGGTATTACCTATGCAGTAATCTCTTATGAAGATGCGAACAATATTTCGTCGATATATAAATGCATAGGTAGTCGGATTAAAATTTTGGACCATCTACCTAAAAAATAAGCAAATCCTTATGAATTCAACTTGTTACATCTACACTTAATCGGATCAATCAATACGAAAGTTCGTTAATGAGGAGTTCGCTTTACAGCCATAAAGAACGTGGAATCTGGTACATCTGTACATTGGTCCTTCGCCACAACCTATAAGTACAGCGAGATGAAATTGTTAGTGGAAATCAAAGAGTAGAAGATGTAGTAACAGTATTAATGTTAATAGGATAGACTAGGCATCGAAGACACGATTCGGGAAAATTTAAATTAGTGAAATGAAAATTTTTTACTAGAGATTTAGAAGCCTAAGGTCTAAGGGAAAACAAAAAGTGAATAAACCTGAGCCATTACAAACGATTGTGACCCGATGTCTCTAATAATTGGTTGCGATAACAAATTAACTAGGTAGTCTGGTATCTAACTACATGGATCAGTCCAATGGTTTGTGTCTTCATAGACTGATGCTATGTCTTGGTTTGGCCGCCTCTAGATATTTTCCAAACTACTCCAACACCAGCCATCGTCGAGTATCAAGGCAGTCCGTAGCTAGGAATACGCAATGCATATACGCAAGATATATATATATATATATATATATATATATATATATATATATATATAGTGTCTGTTAGCCGGATACCATCAGCAACAGCCTACTGTGTGAGAGAACAAACCAACTTCCAGTACTTGGCAATCATGATTAAATACCGCATGCTGAAGATCCTATATTGCGCTAAACATATGATATGAATAAAGCAATTATTAGTATCATATAACTTTTACCGTTACTTCGGATTCGATTTTTTATGCTCTATGTTGAACAAGCAAGTTATATTTTGTTTGACGAACCCCACCCCTTCCGCTAACAGAATATTCTGAACAAAATAAACAGTCCTCTTCCCTCAAAAATTACAGAATGGGAGCGAAATATGATGAAAAAGCTTACCTGGATTCAATAGTAAAATCAATTTTAAACAACCCAGTTCCACTGGATCCAGGTTTAACATTCTGAGCTTTATAGCTAAATTATAAATTAGCTTGTAAACATTTGTATTACGTTTTCGAATCATATCATCTAAACTATCGTCATTAATGTTAGTTGGTTTTGAAGAAATTGAATCGTTATTATTATTATCCATTGGTTTTGTTAAATTATTTAATAAATGAAATTCTGGGAAATTCGAATAATAATAATCCATTCTCTCATCCAATGGAACAGATTTGTTTATTTTTTTCACTTGTATTGTACAGTCTTTAGATATATCTGATACTGTTGATGAAACTGAATTTTCAGGGGGATCGTTAGTGATATTGGGAATATCAGTAGTATTAATAGTAGGAGGAACAGCAGCGGTAGAAGCAGTATTAATAGTGGTAGTAGTATCGGGAAGTTTAGATGTAGAATTTGATGTTGGTAATGAACGAGGTTTATGATCGTTTGCTAACCAATAAACTAAATTCACTATGATCAGTTGCATGCATGCTGGTGAAAAAGAGAAAAAAACGATTGGACTATTATTAATATCAAGGAACATAGTAACTGAGAAAAACAGTGAGAGGCTTTATATTGTGAAGGCTTCTCATGATGTTTAACAAACAGTCAGTTATAACCAACATAGGATTATCCACAAATCTAATAATACTTTGAAGATCAGAATGATGCTAATGACCAATATGCTTTCCAAAAATAAAAAGTTCAGGTACTAACATAACTGGCAGAGTTGAATAACACCAAGATTGGAGAAAGGTGCATTGCTGAAGGCAATGGATGATAGTTACGCAATGTCGTTAAGTGACTGAAGTGAGAAGGACAGACTATTGTGACAAAAGATAACGTGGCAGCTACGATGTTTGATGATCCATAGTTCGTGAGATTTTGGGTGTATGTACATACTGAGACGAAATGGATGTCTAGCTAAAGTTAATCTGTGACATAAACTGTTCTTAATATGATACTTCGATTGTAGGATAATAAGTTGAATTGAGTACAATGCCATAAGACATTGACTAAAATAAAGAATTCACGGTAAATGTACAGTGGAATTCCATCAAAATTCAGTCATATAATGTTAATTTTATTTGAAAGGGTTGGTATTTTCCCGTTACTGATGTTAAAGACTGCAACTGATCAGTCGTTAATAGTATATGCGCAACTTATAACGAAATAGTAATATTAAGGCATTCCATTCAGGATGCACGAATGTCAGTAAAAACTGATCATCAAGTGAAGACGTTAACATCAATCACGGGTAAATACAAATCCTTATAAATATTTATTAACAAACATACACTAATGTATGAAGAGATTACAAACCGATATAAAAATGAGACCTGTTTTTTTTTTACTTGACCGAAAATAAAACGGTTTATTATTTGTAAAAAGAACCCCGTAATTTCCTAAAGATCATTTTCTCAACAATTCCATCATTAATAACAAGTAAATAGCGTATACAACAAAATTATTTGGAATAAATTACAACACGTGGAACGCATGAATCAATGATAGAGAGATGTATAGATTTGACCCATATAATTCAATGAATAAACATACATTTTGATATTACAATGCATTGATGATACACACAAATAATAAACTCATTGATTTAAAATTATAGTTGATGTGAATTGATTTTTAGGTCAACAATAATGGAATCAATCATGAATACCATGAATTTGAACTTGACTGTAAACTATGATAGATGGATGTAAAGATTTGAAACTATAGACAGAAAGCTAGTTAGCTTAAAGGGCCTCTTTTTAAATTGATCGTTATTGTCAACGCTTAGTCTTTTCAACTTAGCATTTCGATTTCTTTGTCATTCACTTGGTTAATTTCATCACGTTGTGCTAATTATGTATGGGAACTTGGATCAATATACACAGTTGTCTCAGGCTTTACGTTAATTATAATTGAGTGGTTAATTGTAATTCTGATAGCCGTTATTAAAATCATGTTAAATAAACAAATATCAATCGGATAACGAGTTAATCAATTTAGTACAACTTATCAAGCAAACTTGAACATATATACTTATCATTTTGAAGGCAAGCATTCAATCACCGGAAAAGAAATAGAGTGTTTGAAAATCGAGTAATTCAACCCATTAAGAAAAAACAAACAAACATTGTTCTTCTTAGTAGCTGTGAATTTCTGATGTAAATTTTTGTGAACTATCAGGAATTACAATGATGAATTAACTTTTCTACGACATTAACGGAGGTAATGCTTTCTCCTCTCATCTCATAAATGGAACTCAGCAGTGGCTAGCATATATATATTCAAAATACATTCATAACAAAGAGTTTGAGTATCGATTAATATGTACATTAGTTATTTCAGAAACGATTGTAATAATAATAATGACCAATTAGGGTTTGTAGGCACTTGTTAAATTGGAGATAATTATCATCTGAATGAAATTTATTGGAGAATTCCTTAAGGTTAAAGGGCACAATTGAACAGTTGGATTATCTTAGAATAAATTAAAGGCAACCACTTACAACGACGGCGCATGAACTGAAATATTTAGAACCTTCAACTTTCATGGTAGTAATGATACCATTCAGTTGGTGATAAGTTGAATTTCAGAACGGAATATATTTGGTTCGGTTTGGTATAGGATTTCATAGTTTATTTCACGGATCGATTATAGTTAAATAACTACTGAAAACCAATAAACACTGCACAGCTGTTTGGTTTCAGCATTGAACTCGGCAGTGAGCATTCATACTCTCAACGGGGATTGAACCCATGGTCATGAGGTTTCGTGGAGAGCGCATAGATGTTAGGCCACTAAGTAGACAGAAAATGGTCTATATTTTTAACTTCAATCATCAATACGCATTGTTGTGCGACTAAATTATTTTGGTGGATAAGTTTCTCACACACGACACATGGTTGAGCCCCACTGATCACAGCTTAAAGTTAAAAATGTAAATCATTGAACGTCTACTCAGTAGTCTAAAGGTTAATTTCTCTCTGAAAGAACTGAAGGTCATAGGCTCTATCCGACGTTAGGATCGTGGATGCATTGTTCAGGTACAAGCTAAAACAAAACAATTGTCCAGTGATTCCTGGTGCGCAATGATAATTTAAGGTCAGTTTATGATGAAAACTGTGAAACTTAATAATTTATATGGGATTGCTAGTGAGTGATACTGTCTCAGAACTACAATGAAAAGATAATTGGTGTTAGTTCAAGTTCTAAATGGTTCTTCTAACTGATGTCAATCCAAGATGAGAAATATTTCTAAATAAAAATTAAACTAGATAGAAGTAGTTAAGATGAGTATCACTGATAATATCTAGCAACAATTATAGATCGCAGGGGTAGGCCGCCTGCAAAGACTAGTTATATATATAATAAAGATGAAAATGTATGTAGACATAATCGTACCTGATTTAAGGAGGTCTAAGTGAACACCACAAGAGAGTTGACAGATATATGGAATTTTTGACGACCAGATAACTAAATCAAGCAGTGGTAAATGATTAGTTGTACACTGTAAATGAGAAGAGAGAGATAGAATTACTGATGAAGAAAATAGTTTGATAATCAAAAAATTTCAAATAATGAAAATAATACTTTAACTATGTACAATGTTGATAAAACAAATTAACATTCGAGATAAAATCAGTATACTGATGAGATTCTAATATTCTATGAATGTTATTCTTACAAAATTTGTGTTTTATAACACAAGAAAAATACAACCATAAACGAGTATAACAATGCTAAACAAACACAGACAAGGTAGCTACTCTTACACTTGTAAATGAGGTGTTGGTTTGTACAAGAACGAGAGATTTGAAAGTGATTAGAAATTTCTATGTATAATTAGTTCATAAAATCTTTAACTGATACAAATTGTATGGAAATTTGTAGGCTTTCATCAACTGACAAGAAGTAGGATAGTAGAGGTCAAAGATGGTTAAAGAATATAAACTAAAATGTTTAAAAACAAATCAGTTTACATATACTAACTACTTTTAAGATATTTTTAAGAAATAAGAATAATTGAATATTCAGTCAGTTACAACGTAGGACCAGGCACACATATGCATCGGTCCAAGTTCCTACACCTCATTACCACAGCAAGACGAACACCGGATTCACAGAAGCAGTTAGTTCAATGGTGTAATATATAAAGAAAAGATTTTATGTAAGGATATAGTACAGAAAGAAAAAATTAGTTGGTAGAAAGAAGGATATGAAATAATTTTAATCTCATAGTTTAAGGGAAGACAAAGAGTGTATACACCCACGCCATTGTGATCGATTCTGAGCCATGTCACTCAGTCTCCAACCATTTCATTTGATAAATCATAACTAATCATAGGAGAAATAGACAGTTAGTCTATCAAGACTAAAGTAAGAATATTGATGAGAACCTATTAGAAAAATAATACAGCTCAATTATTCTAAACAAAATGATTGAAAAAAACATAATCATTTAAACATTTCAGTTTCACTTAACAAAAAATTCAAAAAAATGATTAGTAACTCTTATGAACTTGTTGTTTTTAGAAAAGAAAAACAAAACTGCAGATGAACAATAATATTCAGTTTACTACTCCGATAGAATCAAACCCGGATTTTCATGGGGAATTTGAAAATATTAAAACGGTAAATCGAAATCACTCAAATTTTAATAAAATGTAAACTGATGCTTCGAGAAATAATGGTGAAATATCATTTCTTTTTTTACAATTCTCTTAAGTGACTTGTGAAGATCTGTTAGTACTTCACGAGAGTTTGTATCAACTTCAGATACTCGAAGTAAACAATGAAGGTTTAGACAGTTGAACAAAGCAAAGTAACAAAATGTGTGATATTCTTCACCATAGCACAAATTCATCACACATATGTATGCTTGGTTGCTGAGTTTTCAAACATTTTAATGCGTCAAAGTGTGCGTCAAAAAGTGAACCAACATACCAAATAAGAAACAATTTATAATTGTTTTGATACAATCGCTAAGAATTAAGCTTAAAAATCATATCTTGACTGATTGGACAGAGGAGTGTGCAAAATACGAGCTGATTCTCGTCCAATCGCTCATGATAATTTATTATGGTTACTTTGTGTTAGTAGTTTGTCATTCTTTCTTTAACGCTTTCCTTCCGCATAGTTGTTTCGCATTTGATTTTAAATCATTCATGGCGTTGAGTCAATAGCGTGGTCTCATGAGTAGCCATCACTAAGTCACATGGAATGATTGGATATTTCCAGTTGGTCAGAATTTTCTTTCACAAAATTCTAATCCATAACACAAAGGTGACTGGGATAGGATGGGACAAAGTCAGGAATCATATTTTATAACAAACAAAAAGGGTATGCTTTGCAAATTGAAGGATGAAAAGAAGGCAAAATATCAAGTTAGCTGAAAAAGAAACCAACAACTCAAAGAATATTCGGGACAAGAAAAGCCTAAAATACTAACCTTCTCAAAATTATTTTCTAACCACTTGAAATTTTCCATACTGTCTTGAAAACATTTAGCAATCTCTGCATGACATTGTTGTTTATTGTAAGCACTCAACCATTGTTTACGTCTATTTGAAATAGTCGATTCAGCCGTCCTGATAAATTCCAAGGCATCAGGTGGTGGTGGAATGGCTGCGGGTGTTGTTGTTGGGAGTTTCAATGTATGAATGTCTACCAGAGGTAATGTTACGTTGTTGCTATCTTTATTAACGATTAAAGACAACTCTTGAGGTGGATATGTTGCAGCGTCATTGACAGTGAGATTAAAATTATCATTTATTGGAAGTTGTTGAGATTTTTCGTTCGATGCTGAGTACAAATAATTTATACTACTATCTGAGCATTTCGAAAGTATGTGAGGACTAGATGATGATGATAATGTACAATTAGTTGTTTTTAACATTGCTTCTTGGTTTTCAACTAAACATGAATGATTCAATGTATGACTTATTTTTGTATCAGACATAATCATCGAGTTAACTGATAAGTCACAATTTTGCTCAGGTGGAGTTGGTGATCTTTGGACTTCAGACTGAAGCTGTTGTTGTTGGCGTTCTTCTTGAACAGCTAAAATTGCAGATAAAGAAAAAAACGAATAAGATAAAGCTGTTCAGGATAGTTTGCTCTGGTATGGTCGAAAGTGAAGAGAGTATACTTACGCTCTCGAAACATTCTCACACGAAAAGAGTATTTTAGCCTTTGTCAAGAGAGTTCTACTTACTGTCTTTAAGTGGAGATGATGGTTTTATGAAAGAGATGGACCATGAAAATCGGATGTCCGGTGATCAAAATACTTAGGTGGACATTCATAGTCTTCCTAGGAAAGTATGGAAATGTTGATTTTAAAATACCTTCAGGTCTAAAGCATAGGGAGCGGTCCCTTAGCAAAAGCATATGCTTCAGACTGATGTTCTTAGAGTAGGATCCTTGAACATAGGCGTGAAAGAGGGAGATTATGATTTCCTTATCTGGTACAGATATGGATTTCTTAATTATTTAATTATAGTCAAATTTATTTTACTTCACGTTGTCGTCCTATTTCGCTTTATTTTGATGTTACTTATACGTTTTGTCACAAGAATATAAATCTGTAACTCACATAGCAGTTGGCCTAAGCTGTAAGTTCCCTATTGTTTATACAATATTAAGTCGCCGAGTGGACGATTTTATGAAATCTGATAAGACATTTCTGAAGCCAAGTTTGCCGCTAAAACTTGTCTCCTTCAACATTCCACATTGATCTAGATCGGACAGCAAATAAGTTTGGTTTTGCAAAGTCTTAGCATAAAAGTGAGTTGTGTATTTGTGATTTATATTCAGGGCTCTAGCGAAGTCCTCAATCCCTCGATATGAAAAGTTTTTCCTTGTTCACTTGTTCGGAGGACTCTGGAATATTGGCGTCCATATTCGGTAAAGTCGGTGTCGTACTATGCGCCAACGAGGTGGCACTAATCGATTGAATTCTCATTAGGAATCGTTTATCAGCTGTTCGATTAGGAGACTGCATAAAAATGAAAAGAAACTTGGGTGAGTGATAAGGTTTTTTGAAATCCTTGCCTACATATCGACGGATCGCAGCCCATATGGAATCAACGATGAGTCCTGTCACTGACTAAGTCACTGCTTCGCTGATTAAAAACAATTTCTGCTCATTTATTCAGACTGCACGACCCTCTTAATTAGCTGTTCTTCGCAAGATTACCAACTCACTTATGTGTAGCATTTTTCGATGTCCAATTGTATCAAAAATTCTGTTATCAATAAATACAGATGTCAATATTCTTTTTTTTTCAATAGAGTCGTGAACCAATGTTAGACCACGAGTGAAAATCTGAAAACAATGGATGGCCGTTTCGTCAAAGTATGGGACTTCTTAGCAGTCCTCATTCACGATATTACAGGCGGGAATCGAACACAAGATCTTCGGTCTCGCGTGCGAACGCTCAAGCTCTAGACTCATGACCCGGCATCTAACGGTGTTAGTGTCTGACTTTAACCAACCCATAGTATCGCACGACCGTCTTTTATTGTTTTAGGTCGGTAACTGCCTCTCACCCGACATGGTTGTACTCTACTGGTCACGTTTTCTCACTAGAATATCAAGAATTCCCTCTCGTGTGGCGTCATGGATGAGCACTTCTGAGGAGTCCCATACTTCGGAAAAACGGGCTTTTAGTGATTCCAGGTTTTTAATGGTAGTATGACACTGATCGGTTAATGGTTTCAATGAAGCTCCACAAACCTATATGTTCAGTCCGAATTGTGTCATGATTTGGGAACCAGTTGAGTGAAGCGAAGAGTCCAAGAACACTAGGTTGTAAATAAGGAGACTTAAAGACAACCAATTCTTTTCAGTGACTCCGCTCCGTACGCTAAGCATCATGAACACTGTGATGCCTTTAGGCTGCTCAATGAGCTTTACATAATGAGCTTTAAATAGATAGTCAGAAAACAACAACTGAATCATAAATACCCAGACGTGGTGGTCGACCTTGCCCATCGTGATGACCCAATCAAGTTACATTGGCTGGAAAACTTGTTCAGTTAGATAATATAATTCTAGGCAGAGCAGTTGGATAACGACAAAACATTCGTTTTAAAACGATTTTTGGTGGCTTGAGATCACCAGCCGATATCATGTCTAATACCGCCCAATCAGGATTATGGTTATCGATAAATCCACCCATATGACTAGTACGACATATGATCTAGATAACCACTGACACGTGGATCAATAAACAACAACTCAACATATCAAAGTTAATTGGTTTTCCAGCTCCTAACACAGTGGCCAATTAGAAGAACCAGGTAAGAAAAAGCATTATCAAAACCTTATACCTTTTTTAATTTATTATGCTGACACTGATATTGTTACTACCTCTGTTATCCCGAGATTCTTCTTGATAAAAGGAACTGATAAAAACAAGACTAATGTAAAAATAATTACAAGGTATGCATGTATGTATCATCATTACATTCAATTTTATATTGGACAGGGAATGAAAATTAGCATATAAATAAATAACGAAAATTTGGACTAATATATAAACTGACCTTCTCGTCGCATTCCCGCCCGTAAACATTTTTGATAACGGCAATATTGGCAACGATTACGTAGTCGCTTATCAATCTGACATTCTTGATTATCTCGACAAATATAAGTGAGTTCCTTACGTACAGTCCGTTTGAAAAATCCTTTACACCCTTCACACGAAAAGACACCTATAAGAGCATGACAAGAAATTTTCAATAAAACTGACGCTAATTCGGCGTGCGCGCACCTACACAAATATAGAAACTTTTAATCTGTTAATTTAACTAATAAATCAAAAATATACCTCTTTGATTAAGATCTCAAAAGAGGAAATTCATATTATAAATGAAAACAAAATATAAAGATATTTATAGCATTCATATCTTGAGTTCAAAATGAACACATAATAAAGTAGTCGAACGTGTCGACAACTTTATTTGGAAGTCTGATCAGCCCTAATGAGTTGGTGTCTGGTGAAATCTGTGCACGGATTCAGAAAGCTCATTTGGCTTTTGCCAACTTACGTCACCTATGGTGAAGGTGAGATATCCGTTTATCAATTAAAGGAAGGGTATACTGAGCAGCAGTTTGTTCTGTTCTACTTTACGGCTGCAAAACAAGGTCATCAAGAGTAAAGGATACACGTAAGTTACTAGTATTTGGTCCCAGATGTCTTAGAAAGATCGCCCGCATTGAATTAACTACTTCTATGAATCCAGTGTCCATCTTGCTGTGCTAATGAGGTATGGCAACTTGGACCGATGCATATATGTGCCTGGTCTTATGTTGTAGCTGACTGACTGAATCCTGTCAGTCTTATAAAAGTACTTCGCACTTAAAAGGTGTAAAGCACATGTCATATCTACGGACACTGACTGCGCACTGATTAAGCGCGGACTGCATGACTTGAGTATCATTGCACAGTATAAGACAATAGTATAAGCACACTTAAGATTGAAAAATATTTCTCCAGATAACAGATACACCCCACTGTTACCTGCATCCCTTAGAGCCATTTCTAGAATGTCATCTGTGAGATTATGCAACTGATTAACCCCACTTACTCAAATAGAATGAGTTGACTTTGAAACAACTAATAATTTGTATTATTAGCTTCTATTAGAGAGAGAGAACATGTATGGATGAACTAGAGGCAGTAAAAAAATGGTAAAACAATTTAAGAGGGATAAAAATTTCAAGGAAAAAAACTGACCATAGTGTTTTCCACTTGCACGATCTGAACATATTGAACAAATATACTGTCCAGATGAAACAGACACACCACCACTAGTACCACTACAGGAACTACCACAACTACTTCCACTGCTTGTACTGGTTGAACGTCCCGATGGCCGTAACAAACAACATATGGTAGATGATTGTAATGTTGTTGATGGTGAATTACAATTTGTTAATAATGGAGAGGAGGATATTACTGAATGTGATCTATCATTATTTGATTGGTTTGATAAACAATTTGAATCAATATAAGAACTAGTACCTAAATTATGTGTATTACTATCATTATTTTTAACCGGAGATGAAATTAAAATCGGTTGAATATGACACAATTCTGATGGTTGAACAATACCAGTAGTAGTTTTAGTTAATAGAATATTTTTATCAATAGTATGTTGCTTTGTATTATCAGTTTTGAACACAACATTATTATTACCATTGGGTGACTGTTGACTTATTATTGGGATATTATTTGAACTGGATGATATACAACACAAAACCGGTGTAGTTAATTTCTTAGTAGACAATTGAGATACAACAATAGAACATTCAGATTGATGACCAGCTGTTTCAGGAAAATTCATACGATTCTGATAAGTCGATTGAAAAGGAGCAGAATTCTGTAGAAAATAAGTTTAAAAGAGTTAAACATAAACTAATGTTTTTTTTTCTTTTTTAGAATAAAACTTGAATTATGCATTAGTATACCATGAAAATTAACTTATTAATTATTGTGATTATAATAGATGTAGCAGAGCAAAAAATGTTGTTCCATATAGTCAGTTTGTATTGATTATTTTATTAGAATAGACTATTATAGAATTTAACGATACCACTTATCAGTTAGCTACCCAACATTAAGCAAATGATACAAGTATAAAACAAATATCAATGGTTCAATAGACATTAAGAATATCAAACTAATAATTTAACTTTAAAGCGCTACTAACAACACAATTATTGGCTTTAAAAAGTCCTTTACATCTTTTATATATGTGTATCCAATCAAAAGCCTTCATTTGACACTAACTACTGTTATACGATTTACTGTTTTCGACATATATTTCTAGTCTATTAGTTACGGTCTCCTATACTTACAATCACTTTTGGTTTGATCTTATATAATTATTATTTTTTCATTTTATGGTGTGATGCGGTCTGGTCTGCTTCTATATAAATCACGTATACCTGAAAAACAACGCCTGTAACCCTTCATGGATCCACAATCATCAAGGCATCCTTCAAATAAAGAAGGAAGGGGTCGAAATGAATGTTATTCAGTGCTAGGCACCCATCAACGAGAGTAACGAAGACAATAAAGACAAGTTTTACCAGAGGCAGAAATAAGAAGGTCAGCGCGCCAGTGGACTGGATATTTCGATGGAGGATAGCACAGATCGCAGCAAAGAAGATGGAATGGCGAACAAAACAACCTCAAGAGTGAGCGTTTACAAGGGGGATGAGTGTAGTGTATGCTACTTATGTCTGTCGGCATAAGTAGTGGAAGTGGAAAACCTGACAGCAGAAGGTTGAGATGATCGAATCGAACAGAACAGAAACAGAGAGTAATTGTTGTGCCAATGAAGGGACAGTGTAGTTTGAGACAGTTAATTGACATTTCACAAATTAAGTATTTACTGTATAATTCTCAGGTTTTACTAAAAAGTTCTGTAATTTTGTGTTCAAATACATTCGATGTTCCCCACTTGTGTTCTCGTTCACTACAGTCAGAATCTTCAATACGAACGCCAAGACGATTCTACTGTATGGAGCTGGGACGTGGATAACTAATAAAATTATCATCGAAAAGTGCAAGTATTTATAAACAATTGTCTACGCAAGATACCCAATATCTGTTGGCCAGATACTATCAACATCAACTTACTATGGCAGAGAACAATTCAGCTTCCAGTTGAAGAGAAAATTAGGAAAAGACGTTGCAAGTGGATAGGACACGCACTGCAGAAATCACCACATTGTATCACAAGGCACTCTCTAACTTGGAATTCTCAAGGTGAAAGGAAGAGTCAGACAAAAGAACATACTGGAGGTAAACATCAAAATAATGAATAACAATCGAACACAATTGGAAAGGATTGCCCAGGACAGATTTCGGTGGAGTGCTGGTAGGAGGCCTACGCTCTTCCACGAGAGGTAACAAGCCTAAGTAAGTAATGTCTGAAGTATATGATGCATATAGCGGATGCTGATATTTGTATTCTGGACTAGACGGACTGACCTAAACGAGAAGCTAATATATCGGAGACCAATAAGGATTCAGAGTTGACTGAGGGCTGCTAGTACTGGTTGTGTCATTGGTTTAGGGTCATAGGGCAAACAGTTTCTTACAGGAAATGATTGTTGAATTTGTTTAAGAACACTACTTAGCCGTAATGGTTTAAATAGTTTTTGCATTAAAATGACTAAAAATGAGATGATAATAAGTAGTACTTTAAAGATTTCCAATTACACAGAAAACACGTTACTTTTAAAACTGTAAGTTAGACCGACTCAATGTGGTAAAAGTTTAATTGCAATATAGTTGGTCATTGGCTTAGTTCTGTCGATAATTAACAACAGTAGCTTACTTCATATATTTATTAGACAGACTGTGTTTATATGATAACGAAAATTATTACAAATTGCCATAAAATAAAGACTAGAATAATTGTTTGACTGGTGAGTACACTAAGCAAAAGTGTGGATAGAATGATCTAGTGGTACTAACTTTTAAACACAGGTTTTCCACACGATCGTTGTTACTATGAAATAGGATCCTAATCACCAGGCCTGAACTACTTTACACACTTAAGATTGAAAATTAATAGGTTTATTATTAATAATGAATAACCGGGGTTATTGGCTGAAAGAATAAAAGTTACTGAAATACAAAACTTGGACTACATTCGCTATGGGAAGACTGATCGTAAATCCAGTCTGAATTTATCAGATGTATGTGTGATATACTGAATGTACTAACTCGAGCTATGGTGAAACGGTTAAGACTATAACAAATATCTCCACAAAAAATTGACGTAAAGCTACCGGGAACAGCTACAAAACAGATTTAAATAGATATATGACAAATATACAAATAAAATTAACGACTCTGCTGTTAACAAGATAGAATTTTAATTAGCGCGTGATTGAATCAAGATCAGAGTCAGGAAGAGCTGAATGGCTCATTCTGAAACCAATCGGCTCTAGTGGATAGATTAGGAAGATATTAGAATATTGCTATGTAAATACTATACATACGCTAATGTCTTTACTATATTAAGTTTTGCTGTTTGGATTTCAGAGCATACTTTTCTATTTAGTCATAGTTTTTACTCCGACTTCTGACCAATCGAGTGAAATATTGCGTCCATAGAATACTAGGGAGGTTGAAAAAATGCCACATAGTATGGTGTATAATGTGACAATTGGAATCTGTAAACTACTGTGAGATATATTTTAAAGGTGTTTTCTTAATGGTGATCGATTTCTAACCATGTTGTTTAGCTTCATCACCATATTACGGACCAAATTCACGGATCAAGACCTACTACAAGCAGGTTAGTTAGATCAATAGTTGATGTGGCCAAGGGATTAAAGAAGCGTTTCATTGTAAGGAGATGAACTTCCTCACATTAAAATGTCATCTGTGTTACGATTTTTCATTTTCCTTCGTTTCCACACCAACCATTCTCTGTTCTCGTCCTCCTTTTTTATTTTTTTAACCTTCTACATCCAGGCATTTCACTGTGTGTGAAAATATTTTATATATTAAATAAAGTTAAAGACTGTATTTCGTCAAGTGACCTGGAGATTGAGTTCTTATACACAATGAACAGGAACCCGGAAGTGAAATGAGATTGATTAATTGTGACAGAGATTCACTTCAAGTCCGTGGAAATAGCAATCGTGAATGGGAAATATCATTAGCGTGAATTCAATGTGGTATCGTATCTACTTGTCCAATAAGATAAAATGAGTTTAGACTTACGGAGCACTATACCTGTTTCTTGAGGTTAGGTAGTCATAAAAACGGGGGAGAGTGGGGACAAAAATATGAAGCGATAATTGACTTCAATAAATTGTACATTACTTTATTATGAATCTCATCTGGCAACATAACGACAGTGATGTTAGAGAGAGAGACATGAGTTTGTTACAAAGGGTACAACTGAAAGATGAAAACATGCTGACCCATTTGCGTAGGGCGCGATCATCCCCTTAATAATGATGTGATTTGAGTATATGAATTTCAGCTACACATGCTAATTACTAACAGAATCGGCACAATAGGAACAAATCTTGTTACAATAATATTTTAAAATCAAATGTATACAAAACTAAGTTGTGTCAAAAGTGTTGAAAAGGTTGGAATGATGATAAATAATAGTCAAAAATTTAAACCGATATATCGTTTGATGTGATTTTAATCTATGAACTGTTCATATGTAATATAGTTTATTTTGTATAATAATCTTTATGTTAAAAAATCAGTCATATGCGACAAGGAACATGGGATATATGTATATTGGTTAACGATACTGTATTACATTAGTACAACGAGTTGAAATCACCAAGAAAAATCTCGGGATAACAGAGATAGTAACAATATCAGTGTCAGCATAACAGATTAAAAAAGGTATAAGGTTTCGATAATCAAAACATAAGGGTAGACAAACAATGAATGCACCTACACCATTGTGAACGATTCTGAGTCAATCCACTCAACATCTTTAAATACTGATTGAAGTTATGGAGATGACCTAAACCAGGCAGCCTCAGACTAACAGTCAGTGTCTTTATGAACTGATGCCGTATCTTGGTTTGGGAGCTCTTAGCTTTCACCAGATAACAATATGCCGTCGAGGTAGGCTGTGGTTTAGCATACATAATGCATGTCCCAACCACCGGTTGATGAAGATTTACAACCTCATCAGCTGATTTACCTTTACCTAACCTCACGATTGTTTACTCGGTAGTCCCACCATAAGTGATCAATGCTTCGAAGACGCGTGATCAAATACCAGTAACCTACGAATATAATTCCCAATGGTCGTGTTACATATCCATAAAGTAGAACGGAGACAGCCGCTGCACAATAAACTCATTCTTTGGTTGGCAGATAGAGAACTTGTCTACGCCACGAATAACACAAGTTGGCAAACTCCAACTGAGAATTTTGAATGAGTAACAGATTTTGTCAAACATTTCTCGTCCATGGCTAATGGGACTTCTAAGATGAGTGAATCGGTCAACCCGATCAACTAATTAACTTCTTATCATGGGTCCAGGCATTGACCAAGACCAGCATCGAAGCAAGATTTCGCATTCGAGAGACAAAGGCATTCCAAATATGCTTAGATTGTCGCTGAGAGGTATCAGAAGACCACATTTTGTCAGCGTCTTTAACAAATAGAACCGTGTCACCAGTGTATTCTAAATGGAAAAGTGAATCTCCTGGTAGAGCAACATCTGAAAAGTTAAGGGATGTAATGTTACTTCGAGAAGGATATCTATAGCAGGGTTGAATAAGAAAGGAGACAATGAGGTTGATGTACTTGTTTGGTATGTCTTTCAAAGAAAAACTATTTCCATGAAACCTCTCAAACAATGAAGCTGGATGCCACCCCAAGGTCAAGGAATACAGCTGTAATAAGACATCGGAAAATGTATCTAGGTACCAACACCTGACGAAGAGTGAACACATGGTTCACAAACTCACAAACTGGTCTAAAACCAGCTTAGTTTTTCGGGTTCGCTCTTCACGAGCACCAGTTAAGAGTCGGGTGATTACTGAAGCTAATATTTTTGATATTATATTGTTTAGGTTGATCCCTCTGTGTTTGCTATAAGAGAATTTTTGTTCTTTCTAATAAACTGGGATCATCAGTGATTGGTTCCAGTCAGATGAGTTTCTAGATTCTATCTAATATTTCATTCCATCTAACTGTTAATACTAGACCACCGTCCCTAAAGATCTCCAGGATTAGTCTATCAGGTTCAGCTGCCATTCCTCAATTTGGGTTAGCTATAATATTTCAAATTCATTAATATTCAGAGGTTTACTTCAGTCTCCAATTTCGTTTGTTTTGGAGTAGTAAGTTATCAAGGGGTAGTTGGAGACAAGTTGAACTGTTTCCTATAATGTACTGTCCATCGGTCTAATCTCCTGGAATGAGAGTGAATAGTGGTTCCGTCTCTTTACGAAATGATCTCACTAAAAACCGAATTTCTAATACAGGTTTCTTTGATGAATCGGAATAATTATCTACTGTTACGTGTTGCTATTGCTCTTTCCATCTCTTCTGGTTTTACTGACCATCACTGCTCATGATCGCTACGCAGGCTTTTTGTTAGTCTAAATTTAGACTGCCTTTGCACCTCATTGTATTCTGAACATGGCGAAACAGGTTGCTGAGCATCTATCGATTCAGTATGTGCCACTGAAATCCACTGATGTTTCTTAATCTGTGGGTTTAAGATACTAGTATATATCACTGCTGTTTAGATATCACGGCAAGGTAGGTCAAGATAAACGTCACTTTTTTGGTTGATTAGTTGCATCTCTTGTTGTTCTTGAAATATACTCTTGACTTTTCCATCATTAAGATAAGCTGTAACGGGTTTTCCTTCTATGACTTTTCTGTGCCCAGGAGGACACAGGCAAACACGTGCTCTCATTAGAGTCAGTCAGTCAGTCAGCTACAACGTAGGATCAGACACACATATGCATCGGTCAAAGCTGCCACACCTCGTTAGCACAACAATATTAACACCGAATCCATAGAAGTAGTTACTTCAATGATAGTAATATGTAGAAGAAAGATTGTGTATAAGGATATAGTACAGGAAGAAAGAATTAGAAAAGTATAAAGTAATTTTAATCTCATGGTTGAAGGGAAGACAAAGAGTGTATACACAGATGCCATTGTGCTCTCACTAGAACATGATTAGGGTTTAAACATGTGCTTCAAAATGAGTGACAGTCTTATGTTGAACCTTCCAAAGACGACTAACTTCAATGTGGTTTATCTGCATCAACCGTTCAGTCAATCCCGAGGATCGCCATAACAGACGGTGTCTTTCTTTATGCTTAAAGTTTGTGCTTGATAGAAATAAGAAATTATCTAAGCATAGTTACAGTAGCTGGTCGCCATTATCTGTTTGTTGAGCTGCGATGCTTAAGTGCCTTACAGCTTCGTTTATACCACCAACTTGGGCATTAAAAACACCTGATACTATTGTGGTGTATGCTACTTATATCGACAGACATAAGTAGTATGTAACACCAATAAGAAGAATGGCTGGCAGCAAAAGGCTAAGAAGATCGGATTGAAGAAAACAAAAAGGATTAGACAGAATGATAGAGACAATTATTAAAAGAGCTGCAAATGAAGTATTTAATGTATGGTTCCGTAACTTGTTATTAAATAATAAATTGGTTATCCCCGCACGAGTCTCGTTCATCACACTATTACTAAATCTGAGCACTTAGCTTTTGAGGACTAAAACATTTCTATGAAATTTATCTTTAACTTCACCAGAACTCCACTCACTGAGAGTGTGGGCAGAGATGATGAAGAAGTAATGGCGTGGATCTCTCTGAGTACTTTTAATGTGCTAGCTTTCGATTTTAAGAGGTCCTACCTTCCAAAACGGAAACCCACGAGGTAAGGTGAGATCTGAAATTTTGAGTATCGACCTTTTGTAAACAATTCTTTTTGTTGTGAGAAGGCAGCATCGCTACAGATGCTATTGACTGAGGGAAACACCTTACTGACATCACACTCAATAAAGTTAGTGGTACAACCTAGTCCCTGGATCTTAAGTCCCTGGTTTTAGTCTTACTGTTCTCGAACGGACCTGACTCATGGTAAGATCTAAAGAAATGTGTTCGAGCCAACATACAGAAATATCCTTCCATTATTAAAGAAAGGTTAATAAGTTGATTCAATTTTATTGGTTACACAGTATGGACGTCTATAAATCAATTCAAGTTACCATATTTCATACCGACAGACAGAAAATTAACAAGATGAATAGTGAAAAATTGGAATAATAACTATGTAAATGTTACAGGAAAACGAAAGTAGCATTTATATTTCATAAAGAAATGAATGAAAAGTGTGGAATAACAACCATAAGCTCAATTATTTAATGAAAGATAAAGAATTGAATGACACAACTAAAGTTACTGAGATCGATTTTGATCTATATCATCATTTAACATCTTCAACTAGGAAGTATACACTTTCCTATATAGTCTCTATTTGATAATAAATCATTTTGATCGTGTTGTTGATGTAACTCAACAATGCAAAGAGAAAGTGGAAACAATGATGGGCAGATGATAAACACATTTCACAACAAAACTTCATAAACTGGAACTAAACTAAACTATAACATCTCAAATACATCACTTAATTTGTCATATTGATTTATTATACATCAAATACAATAGTTCGAACTTGAATAAATTATGTGATTTAGTCAGCTTACAACTAACTAATTAATCAATAAAATTAGTGTGTTTTACACCAATCTACTAACGTTCTGAGAATAAAAGTTATAATTAATAAATCCAACTGGTTTACTGAATTATATGCTTGCTCCTTTTTACTGACAGAAATTGTCAATATGTTTTCTAATTTGTAGAGGTCTATGTGGTGATATCTACCAAAATATTGAGTGTTTTTCATTCACTGGTAAAGAATTCCGTTACAATGGGAGTTGGAAATTGAACGATTTCTTGTTTCACTGGTATAGATTTGAAAGAATGTAATGATAATAATAAACAATTGGAGACCTGAGGCGACAAGGTTCATATTCTATCACACAGGTGTTTTTCTATATATTTATTTGACTACTAAACAGTTTTATTCCAAACTTTCCCCTTCCTAATTTTATGCATTGCTTTCTTCAATCGTAATTCCTGTTTAGTTTTTAACTGTAACGTTGATATTGTTAAGTTGATTGTTTTCGGTGTCCATATCATTAGTTTCCTTTCTGATCAAGCTGGCATAAAGTATTAGACAGTTCTGATGGATTTCTATCGATTAAGTCCTGAAGGAGGTCAGCTGCGACCCGAATAACTCAGTGACATCTTACTGTAAAACTGTGTGATTACGGTTCAAAGCGACTTGAGAACACTGGTTCATTGAGGATTGCAGGTACCTTGCTGGTGAATGCCGACTAGTATGAAACCTCGACCCAAGATTTTCTGTTGGCTAAATCTAATTACCCAACAACGAAATATAGTGCATTTACAGCTGGTTCATTTTATTTGAACACATAAATATTGGTACAAAGGGGCATCGAATATATATGCGCCACACAAGTCATTCGATTTGTGTATGGGCTATGATACTGCCCGGGTGCCCAAACCGAAGAAGCTGACTAGGTGAACAAATGACAAAAGAAATACTCAACTGAGTCAGAAATAATAATAAATTAAGCTCTGTGATTCAAGGAAATACTTTCGACTTTTAAAGTCATAGATAGGTACTTTTGAAATTTTAAAGTAGGATTGAATAGTTAGTATATATATATATATGGCATATTTAGTGCTGATCGTTTTGAGGTCGCGTTGCGCCCAATAAATAAAATATACTAAAGTTAGGCATTGATTCCAACCAATCCACGATACTGCGCGACCATAAACACCATCGGATTCCAGCTCAGTGGTATAGAGGTTAGGCGTTTGCGAGAGACTGAAGGTTCTGAATTTGAGTCCCGCGTATGGGATCGTGTATGCGCACACCTGAGGAGTACCATACTAACACAAAACGGCTACTCAGTGTTTCCAGTATTAAAAAGTGGTCTAACACTAACCATTTCGAGATCTCAATAAAAAAACTCAACGATTTCCATCACTCCATACTAATAAAATACACTGAATTTGTATGGCACCTATCATCCTCAAAAACCGACACAAACCCTGTGTTTAGTTATCAAAACGTAAACCAGGAAGCAATTTTATGATAGAAAAAGGAATCACAGTATAACAACTTTTAAAAACTAACTTACACGACGCATGGGAGAACTAAATGGTCGTGACGATGACAATCTAGAAGTCGGGGCTGGATTTGTTTTAGGCGATCCAGAGGAATAACGATGAGTATTCATTTCTAATCGACCAAACGAGTGTTCCGGATTAATAGGAATAGATATGCTTGGGGTTAAGGGGTACTGTGTGCCCTGACAAAATGGGATCCTAAGATTTTGTGTTGTTTTTATGGGATCACTCATCTGTGATAGAAATGGTTGGATTAGTGTTTCTTGTGGATGATTAAATGTTAACTGATCGTTTAGAATGGTGTAATTGGGTTTTGAGAGAACAGCAGTTGGTGTCAAATACTGGAAACTGCCAACCAATCCACCTCCGAGGACTGGTTGTACCGCTGTTGAATTTCCATCTTTAACATAAATCGCTGCTTTATCAGTGACTGAAGTATTCTCGGGAAGAAAACCAGTTATCTGAGAATTGGGTACATAGGTAGGATATGGTACTGAATGTTCCCAATTTGTAATCATTTGAGTATTGACTGCGGATCCACTGGGGATTGAAGAATGGGACCAAAATGAATTATCAGTACTGTTTATAACAGGCTGTGATCGGAAATCTCCATTGAATATCAATGTAGTTGAAGCGGAATCACTAGATGGCAAATTAACAGTACTAGATACTGCGACCTTTTGATTTGGTGAACATGAGAACACAGAATATATGGACTGAGTAGTCTGAGGTATACTTACATGAAGTTGTGGATGACTCGGAGCAGTTGCAAACTGTTGTCTAATCGAACAAGATGAAGACTGAGTTCGACTGGAATATGGAGAATGAGAAATGAACGGAAGATTGGGACCAGGAATGTTAGAATTGCAATTTTCGCCAACTTTTTGTAGAAGTTCAGGATATCTGATGGGTTTTGTGTCATTTGACATATGTTTAGGTGATTTCCCAACATTCTTCAAAGAATATGGTGAGCTATGGGGTAAGTCAGATGAATGTGAAGTGAATAACTCTAGAGTTTGAACTGTAGGAAAGCATTTAGGAGCACCTGGATATTCTTGATAATCTGATGAATACTTATTTTTAACGAAAGAGTCAGTCCGTAATTGCTGATTACAAATGTTATCAATTGGACAAACCTGATTATCAATTACAAAACTACTTTCATGTATACTTCTGCGAATTTGTACACTAGACAATGGAGTTAACGGAGAATAAGAATAAGGTATATGATTAGGTTTTATTATTGGATGAGGTGCATGATGATCAGTAGGAGATTGATGTATAGATGGTCGTGTTATTGAAGGTATATCTGCCCCAACTAATCCCATTGAATAAGAAGTAATGTTAAGTGGTCCAAGATCATCAGGTACTGTATTAGAAGGCAGTGATTGAACATTATCTAAAGGAGTATTTGTTTTATAGTGTGCTTGAAAATTTTCATATTCGCTTGATTCAAGTGACGGTACAGTTTGTAAATTTGTATCAGATGGTAATGAGATAATGGGTACTAAAGCGCTAGTACTGTTTAGCGGGTTGAAATCTGTGAATAAGATTTTTGAAAAAAAAGCAATAGGAAATACAGATTAAAACATTATTCTGAATAATAAAATCCATCTCTCTATTTAATTAAATCAATGAATATAATTCTAGTTTCTTGTGAATGTCAGAGTTGTCTTTTTCATAACCCCATTAATCTAACTCAATTATGAGGTACAGGTTTTATGTACTCGGCTTGAAGCAATACTTCACAACCTCAAAACCTGGCAAATTACTTGTTACTTGGGATGTAGTAAATGAGAATTTATTATTTATCGAGCACACTATTCATCGTTCATCTAAACACAAGTTGTCTAAAATTCGATGAAGTGCAAGTTCCAGCAAGATTTGTTGCTCAAGATAAGTAAACAACTAATGAGGCGTATCCTTCGAAGGGATTTTCAGTTCCTTTCAAAAGTAGGAAAAATACTTGTTTATGGTTTCTAATTTTAGAAGACGAAAAAACTCACTAATGAAAAAATAAGAAGCTTTCACTAATAGGTAAATTAGTGTAGGGTAATATTCAGTACAAATATATTCCATTTTTATAAAAACATGAGATTCCGTTAGATATGACATATTTGATAACTAACCATTAAGTAACTCCTAGATTTTACTTCATAACTGCCAATGAGAACTGAGTGCAAGACGACATTTTTTAACTAACAAAAGCTAATAATTGCAGACTTACTGACCAGTGTGTTAACATTTTCCCCCTATTTTCTCAGTTAACACAGCATCATCATCCTAGTATAAGCTCAGTTAGATAACATTCTATCCAATGCTTATTTCAAGTATATTTGTAAACAATACCTATTCCGAAGTTCACGTCAACCATATTGGAAATAGATCAGAAATGGCATAATATTAAGTCTAACAATAAATAAGTTATTTTGAACAAAACTATGTAACAGTAAATCCGCCTGAAGTCCCTCCGAAGGCTAATGCCGGTCCCAAGCCCGGATAAAGGAGGAGGGTTGGGCATGTGGTTAGCGACACCATCCCGTAGGAAACTAACTCGCTGAAAAACGCTAACCAGAAAAAATTATTCAAACCTTCTAAACTTTGCCCTGGGAGTCAGAAGGTCTTCATTTAGACGAACTATGACGCCTCATGATGAAAGCCGAGTTCCTTCGAAAGTTACGAGGCCGATGCCCCTTCTGACAACCAAAGCAACCATTTGTTTAGGTACATGGAATACTCGTACAATGTGGGAGACCGGGAGAGTCTTCTAAATCGCTGCATAAATGAGGAGATACAACCTAGAGGTGCTTGGGATCAGTGAAACACATTGGACTCAAGTTGGACAACAACGACTAGCTTCAGGGGAGCTTTTGTTATACTCCGGCCATGAAGAAGAAAATACTCCACATACACAAGGAGTTGCATTGATGCTGTCCAAACAAGCACAAAAGGCACTTATAGGATAGGAGTCTCATGGACTAAGGATCATCAAAGCCTCCTTCAAAACAAAGAAAGAGGGCATTTCAATGAACATCATCCAATGCTATGCGCCTACCAACGATTACAATGAAGACGCTAAAGACCAATTCTACAATAGGCTGCAGTCAATCATCGATAAGTGCCCAACAAAGCACCTGACCATTCCGATGGGAGATTTCAGTGCCAAGGTTGGAACGGATAACACTGGATATGAAGACATCGTGGGGCAACACGGACTGGGAGAAAGGAACGAAAATGGTGATAGATTTGCAAACCTATGTGCCTTCTATAAACTGGTCATACGCGGCATTATATTGTCACATAAACGCATTCACAAAATCACATAGACTTCACCAGACCACACCACGCAAAACCAAATCGACCATATTTGCATCAACAAAACGTTCAGGAGGACTATAGAGGACATGAGAACCAAGAGAGGAGCTGATATAGCATCAGATCATCACTTGCTGGTCGCCAAGATGAAATTGAAACTCAAGAAGCACTGGACAATGGGGCGGACAATATCACAAAAGTTCAATACGGCCTTTCTTCGGGATACCGACAAATTCAAGATAGCCCTCAGCAACAAGTTCCAGGCCTTTCATGATCTACTCAATGGAGAAGGAACTACTGTGGAGAGCAACTGGAAGGGGATCAAAGAGGCAATCACTTCAACATGTCATGAGGTTCTGGGTCACAAGAAGCACCATCACAAGAAATGGATCACTGTTAATATACTGGATAAGATTCAAGAAAGGAGGAGCAAGAAGGCAGCAATCAATACCACTGAACAAAAGCAGAAAAAACCAAGGCACAAGCTGAATACACAGAAGTTAACAAGCAAGTGAAGAGGGGCATCAGAACCGACAAACGTAAGTATGTGGAAGACTTAGCAACGACGGCGGAAAAGGCTGCAAGAGAAGGAAACAGGAGACAACTGTATGACATAACAAAGAAACTCTCTGGAAGTCGCCGCAAACCAGAACGACCAGTAAAAAATAAGGAAGGCAAGATAATCACTAACATTGAAGAACAACGACACAGATGGGTAGAACACTTCAAAGAACTCTTGAATCGACCAGCTCCACTGAACCCACCCAACATCGAAGAAGCACCCAAGGACCTCCCAACCAATGTTGGCCCACCAACAATTGAAGAAATCAGGATGGCCATCAGACAGATCAAGAGTGGCAAAGCAGCAGGAACAAGTACCAACAGACTGAAAAGAAGGACTTCTGGTCAAAATACCAAAGAAAGGCGATCTCAGCAACTGTGATAACTACAGGGGAATCACTCTTCTCTCAATACCGGGGAAAGACTTCAACGAGGTATTGTTAAACAGAATGAAGGACTCCGTAGACGCCCAACTTCGAGACCAACAGACGGGATTCCGTAAGGATCGATCGTGTACAGACCAAATCGCAACTCTACGGATCATTGTGGAACAATCAATTGAATGGAATTCATCACTCTACATCAACTTCATTAAATACGAGAAAGCATTTGATAGCGTGGACAGAACAACACAATGGAAGCGTCTTCGATACTATGGAGTGCCTCAAAAGACAGTCAATATCATACAGAATTCATATGATGGATTACACTGCAAAATCGTGCATGCAGGATAGGTCACAGACTCGTTCGAAGTAAAGACCGGTGTCAGGCAAGGTTGCTTACTCTCACCCCTTCTCTTTCTCCTGGCGTTCGACTGGATCATGAAGACGTCAACGTCTGAAGGAAAGCACGGGATACAATGGACATCTAGGATGCAGTTGGACGATCTAGACTTCGCAGATGATCTGGCTCTTCTATCCCAAACGCAACAACAAATGCAGGAGAAGACGAACAGTGTAGCAGCAGCCTCAGCAGCAGTAGATCTCAATATACACAAAGGGAAAAACAAGATTCTCCGATACAACACAGCATGCACCAATCCAATCAAAATTGACGAAGATTTGGAAGATGTAACAACCTTTACGTATTTGGGCAGCATCATTGATGAACAGGGTGGATCTGATGCAGATGTGAAGGCGCGGACCGACAAAGCAAGAGCAGCATATTTACAACTGAGGAACATCTGGAACTCAAAGCAACTGACAGAGTGGGTTGGAGGATGCTGGTCGGCGGCCTATGCTCCATTGGGAGTAACAGGCGTAAGTAAGTAAGTAATGTAACAGTACTACGCTAACTGATGATTTATAAAAACTATGCCACTGTGCAATAATACCTTTTTCAAAATGCTTACTTTTATGCTAGTTGTGCTAAGGATAATATAAATGGGAAACCGTATTATTTTTTCTTATTTCGTGGCAATTATACTATAACAAAAGCTCTTCATTCCAGTGGGTTTTGGTTCATTATAAACAAATTTTAGAAGTAAAAATACTGCTTGAAGATGTTTTTAAGGCGATTAGCGGACTGTCAATTTACTGTAGTTTATTCATCGTAAATAACCTCCTTACCCTTAACATTTCCTATTTGTTATATCTAGAAGGTTCTTTTTGATATACTGAGTATAACGTGAGCACTAGAACGCCAGAACCCTTCCAAGTCGCAATGAGAAGACAGAAGACTAATGAAAGGAATATTACTTCCAGACAGTGTCAATTATAATACAAAATTGTCAGGTATTTATAGTTTTTAGTAAGAACGAAATCATCATTACAGTCCACCAATCCGCATACAGGGGATTATTAGCATTGTCCAGTCGGGAAGCTACACGTAGGAATTCTAGAATATTCTTCCAAAAGGTAATTGGATGGAATATCTTCGGCTCCTTCTGAGCCTGCTACAGCTTCCTCGAGTTCACCAGTGGTCCGTCGTCACACCTCCCTCCTTTAAAGTCTGTTATGTAAGACTTTTTTCCTCGGATCCACCTGAAACTTGGTTGCCCCATTCCTCTTGCGGTGTATCACTCTCCAGGGTTGTACTGCTTTGCCCTTGCGTCGTTTATCTCTTCTATGTTTGCGCTCCTAAGGGCTTTTCTGCGATGAATCCACGAGCAATTCAAATGGGAGTCGGCTTTCTGGGACCACTGTACTGCTGTCTCTTTGAATTTGATTTATGTGTGTTATACATTTTCCGACACCTTTCCGGACTAGGTACAGTACATTTCCGATTTGACGTTCTATGACACCTGGTCCCCACTTCCTATTACCTTGATACGATTTGACAAGTACCTTTTCACCCACCTGAAAGCTACGAGTGACCGTACGATACTCATTCGTGGGGTTATTTGTCTTTTTGGGTGACAACATACTGTTAAAGACTGTCTGGATTTTCCTTCCGCACATACACTCAACTGGTGACTTTTCTTCTGGTACTGCCGGACTAGGGGTAACTCTGTAAGACATTAAGAACTTACTGATCACTTGTTCTGGGATACCCTCACCTCCCCCTTGACCAGAGCTCTTTTTATCGTACCCATGAATCTTTCTGCTTGGCCATTCGACTGAGGATGGTACGAAGGAGATTGTAGATGCGATATGCCATTTTCACTGCAAAAGCGTTTGAAAGCGGATGACATAAACTGAGTACCGTTGTCGATCACTTAGACCTCTGGAACCCCGAAACAAGCAAATAATCCTGACAATCTTCTTATTGTACTCTCTGATGTCGTTTTCGGCATGTCCTATACTTCTGGCCATTTTGTGAAATCATCGACAACAACTAAGTAATTTCTGCCTTGTATTGGTCCGGCGAAATCAGCGTGTATTCTTTGCAAAGGCCCGTCCGGTTTTGGCCATGGTTGCTGTTCAGCTTTCGTTGAATTCTTCGTAGCCTCTAGACAGGACCAACAACTGCGACATTTTTGTTCTATATCATGGTTTATTGACGGCCAGTATGCACAGCTGCGAGCTAGCGATTTCGTTTTACTTATCCCCGGGTGCCCGCTGTGGAACTGCTTAATGACTTGGTGTCGAAGATTTCTGGGGATAACGATACGGTGGCCAAACATGATGCACGAATCGACAACTGTCAAGAGATCTCCTCGACGAAGATATTGTAAGATTTCTCCATGTAGTCTAGATGAAGGCCACTCGTTGAGTATGCAGTGGCGAACAATCTTCAATGCATTATCCTTCTTGCTAGCTTCTTTAATGGCTTCGAATGTGACCGGGAGTCCGGAAACTGCGTCTGCCAATACTTTGTGAACCTCAGCCTTAACATTTATGGCAGCTACAAGCACTTCCACTTCTTGTTTTGCATGCGAATCGATCAATCTTGAGAGGGCATCTGCCTGTCCAAAATCCGTTGTCTGTTGATACTTTATCTTGAAATCATAGCCCAGCAGTGTAGTTGCCCATCGCTGTAAACGGTTTGCTGTATATACAGGGATACTTTTCTTGGGTTTATTAAACTATAAATTTTGGTATTATGGAATCAAACACTAAAGTGGATTTATAGAGGAGGATAAACGTGTTTCCATTTCATAGTAAACTAAAGTAACCAGTAACTTAATATGTACAGCAAAGTTGTGTGACATGTTTATCACTTTACTGACTAATTCATATATATTGCCCAACATTTTAGACATTATATCAATCTGTTATACTGGTCTGGTCCTCATTTGTTACCAAGTCGTTTTTTTATAATTGAACGTGTGTTGAGCTAGTTTCCAAATATACCCTCAATTTCCAGCTTACAGGTAAATTCTAGGTCTTCAAGAACATTTGGGAGCAGAAAAACCTGTGTTTGATTTAACGCGTGTTCAGAATTTAAATATATGCTTGAAAAAGCAGGAAATCTACAGTCAAGCTACTTTTAATAGCAAATTTAAAAATAAAAATTAGATTGTTTCAATGAACAGGCTGTTACATAGAGTAATTATTATTTGTTTATTTATTTTAGCACATAGATATTGGTACAAGGAGACATCAAATATATATGCGCTACACAGATTTTATTTGATATGTGTGAGGGCTGTGATACTGCCCGGGTGCCCAAACCGAAGCAAGTGGTTTTCTTAGGGGGCCACATCCGGAGCCTTCGACCTGAAGGTCTGACCCACAAGGCAGAGAGTAAAAAGATAACTATCTCATCTTTGGATTTATTGTTATATAATGCACCTGAAAATCTAGTTGCCATGAAACCGAATAAAGCAAACAACCAACAGAAATGATATTCTATAACTTAAAATTCTTTGTAGTAGCTGAAAAGATCGAGGGACTGGAAATTCCATGAAAGGATCCATATCGGGGAGAGTGAGGAATAGATGATGAAAAAAGTTTATAGTGGATGTTACTTGAGATGAGGATAGCTATGTTATTTCTGTATCACCAGAACTTAAGTTACCATGAAGTACCTCGAAGTAATAGATAGATTTATTAACATGAAAGCATGAAAAAAAATGTAGAGGTCTAGATTACTTTGCTTCATACTACTACAGGAATATGACAGAACAACATATTCACCGAAATTGGATATGGGCATTTTTCTATCCAAAGGAGATAAGTGTGCTAGTTTGCCATTTAGTTTAAACAAAAGATGCCGAATTGTATGCAAGTAGTTTTGAAATATGAAAAAGTATTTAGGCCGGAGCTAATCTGTGACGGTGTCGACTGTAAGTTTAAACTGTTTGTTAGTCAGTCAGCTACAACGCAGGATCAGGCACATATGTGCATCGGTTCAAGTTGCCATACCTCATTATCACAACAAGATGAACACCGGACACATAGAAGTGGTTAATTCAGTGGTGGTAAAATATAAAAGAAAGATTTCATATAAGGATATAGTACAGGAAGAAAGAATTAGTTCGTAGAAAGAAAGGTATGAAGCGATTTTAATCTCATAGTTTAAGGGTGTATACACCGGCGCCACTGTGATCGATTCTGAGTCATGTCACCAAGAGTCTCCAACCATTGGTTACGATAGTCATGCGGACACCAACCAAGTAGTCTGCATCTACCAACATGGCTCAGACTAGAAGTTAGTGACTTTAAGGACTGATGCCACGTGTTGGTTTGACTGCCCCTAACTTTCTTCCATCTGTCTTCAACACTAGTCAGCATTGAGCGTTGTGGTAATCAGTGTTCAGGCATACGTAACACGTGGCCAAACCATCTCAGTCGATGAAGACTCACAACCTCATCAACTGATTTACCATCATTCCCAAATACCCTGCGTCTAACCTCACTATTACTTACCCAGTGATCCCCGCAGATGCGAGCGAGATTTCTAAGACATCTGTGGTCAAATACTAGTGGCCTACGAGTATCTTCTAATCTTAATGGTCACGGTTCGCAACCGCAAAGTAGAACAGAACGGACTGCCGCACAGTATGCCCGTCCCTTAATTGATAGACGGATATCTCGCCTTCGCCATAGGTGACGTAAGTTGGCAAAAGCCAGGCGAGCTTTTCGAATCCGTGCTGAGATTTCGTCAGACACCAACCCATTAGCGCTGATCAGACTTCAAAGATAAGTGAAGTTGTCAACGCGTTCGACTGCTTTATTCCCTATCCTTAGTTTAGGTGTTGACGCAGGCCAGTCCTGAAGCAACAACTTGCATTTAGAGGGAGAGAAGCACATCCCAAACATTCTGGCATTGTTGCTCAGTGCTATCAAAAGACTCTGCATTTAATCAGCGTCTTCACCAAACAGGACTATATCATCTGCGTATTCTGAATCGATAAGTGGACCTCCTGATGGGAGATCAATGCCCGAAAAGTCGGTCGATGAGACTGTTATTTAAACCGTTAACAAAATGTTTGCTTTCTGATTGAGATCAGCTGAGCAATCGAAGATGAATTGTGAACGTCATGTGATATGAATTTAAAATCACCGAAACCCATTCATTCAATGTCAGAAACAGCATAGGACACTACACCAGTATGGATCGACCAAAGTAATCATAATTTACATTAACACAGTCGGAGTGAATTAACAATATAAAAAGCGAAGGAGTTAAAGTAACGATACTAACATTATGAGAAAAACGAACAGAAATAATAGTTCGATAATGTATGGATAGGAAGCATGACGTAATAATTGGCTTAAGACTTAGGTGGAAAATAAAGGAACGCAACTGCACAACTGTAACTGATTTTGAGCCATGACACCTCAAGTATCTTATAATAGACTGCAGTTAATTTACGGAACTCAGTTATTAAGACTACATTTCATAACAGGACGTAGATTGGTAGTTACTGATTTCATTAACTAACTGGATTTCTCGATAGGGTTAGTCACATCATGTGATCTACTTCCATGCTAGCTACAACAATGTATCGATGGTTCGATACATGAAAAATACATCTCAACTACTTAATTCAGCGAAAATTCACAACTCCATCGACCAATTTATTTGTCTTTACAGAGCACTCTACGATCAATTCTTCGAAGAAATCTGTGATTGGATATTAGTACTACTTGTGTACCCCAGGAAAATGAGTCTCCGGGTAGGAAGTCAGCCGATGAAACGTTTGGTTGTGTTATAATGTTCAAAAATTAAGCCTAACTTTTAGGCCTCGGCCGATTGGAAAATGAGTCCAAAATTTATGAAATATAATTTTTTAGAATTTGGGATAAAAACTATAACTTACCAACAGATATATATTCAGACGTCAAAGTTGGCCGGTGCTCCAAAGTCTTGCTGTTACAACTTCTTAATTTAGTATCAGCATTGTTGGTGTTACTCTCATTGATTTTGTTACTTAGGTCATCGAAATTGAAAGAATCGACATCATCACCATTTGAAGACCACAACAATGTCTTTGACGTCACTTCTTCCAGATCTGATAAACTGGCTACATCAATCGCTGGAGCTGAATTACAACTTGACGGTATGTAACCCAACTCAATTAGACCCTCAGCATCGATTAAGCGGCTAATTAGTTCAAAACTAGATATACGATTTTGTTCTTCACCATTATCGTCACAATGAGGATCTCTAGTGATGCCCAGTGGAGAGTTAGGAAAGAATGAATCTAGATGTAACTCTTGGTCTGTAAGATAAATACTACTAGACTCATTCTGGCCATCATTCATATGTACAGTAGCGTGAGAGTTTAGGTAAGAAACGGAATCTTGTTGAACAGGAATATTTTGTAGAGACAGAGACGAGGAATGTTCACCAATCTGCTCAACTGAACCCACAGACTGCGGTGTAACAATACTCACCGGTATCATATGGTATTTCGTAAGCCTTATATTTTTAGGGTAGCACGCAATATGGTAAGAAAAAACAGGATTATTTTATAAACATTCTGAATTGATATTACCTAGGGATAAGAATAAGAATAAAAAAACACAAACCTGGCATAATAAAACGAAAAATACCAAGCGTAAAACGTGTATAAAAAAACCCAGCGGAGTGAGATATTCAGATTACTCGAAATAAGTTAAGATACCTAATGTTTATTGACGTGACTAACAGCTTTCCGTCAATATTTGTTAACTTGAGTACGAGGAGGGCATAGTTTTACAGCGCAATGATAAATAAATTATGCTATTCGTACTGAATCAGTCGGCGATCAGTGTCCGTATGTATGGCACCTTCTAAACACAGAAAACTGCAAAACTAGCAGGAACCTGTGCATGAGCTTACTCTTGGTGGCAAACCGTTAGTAGCAGTCAAAAAGTTCGTGTGTTTGGATAGTACTGAAGGGATGACTGATGAGGTCAGTCTACGTCAAGTAAAAGTGGGTCAACTATACGCAACATAAAACCCGGTACATGTGTACATCAATTCAAGCTGCCAGACCCTAGAGTGGCTTATGATAATCCGAGTCATTATTGTCGCCATAGTGATATCAGTCTAGATGTAAACGGTCGGTTTTACGGCGCATCGGTGAGAGCAGTTTTGTCCTATGCTTACTGAACCTGGCCTCTCTGAAACGAGGATATCAGACGACTATCGGTGTTCCACCATGGCTGTCACCAAATGACTGCTCACAGCTGATGAGAACACTATATAGTAATGGTGAGATTCTTCAATGTGCGTTTAGTTATAGTGACGATAATTTGATTTATCCCACCATTTTTAAACACCGATTCCAGTGGTTTGGAAGTTCTACAAATGTCATTTTAGCAACTTTAACATTGTACGTCAAATGCCAGCGTTGGGACTGGGTAGAAAAATATGAGAGATAACAAGCTTATGACATGGAACCGTAGTATAAAAGATAGTTGTGTAAGACTGGGATCTCGTTTCATCACTCTGGTTAAGGTCCTGAATATTTTCTCAGTGGCGTGATACGTTATCATAAATAGCTTAGAACATAAAACCGTTATTCTGTAGTTTTCTTTAACATATATGATGAGAGGAACTTTCTCACATGAGAGAAGCCTCCCTCAGTTGAATTGTTAACTGAACCGCTTTTCTCATTACATGATACTCACGCTGCTTGTCTCTTCTCTTCGATCGTGTTCCCTTTCCATCCCTTTTTCGCGATATCATCCTTGTATTTGTGTAACACATTTTAGTCTTGCTACCCAGTCTTACCAAGTGTGTTTAAATGGGTAGTAAGTAAAATGTGACTAACTTAGCTGTGTTTGGGTTGATTTCACAAAAAGAATGTGTATTTGAGAAGGCAGAATGAAAAAATGTTGGCGATCCCAACGTTCTTCAGACTCTTGAGAGTACAAATACATAAGTAGACTTCACTTTCGACAGGTTCACCTCAAAGTTTTTCCTCATCCTTGTAAGCACAAACACGTACTAATCTACAACGAATCAAATACCTAAGGACCTAAAGATGACTTGAATTTTAAACTATTACAAAACAGCACACTACATAGATTGAAACACTGGATCTTATCACATTGATATATTTCCCCACTAAACAATCTGAAACAACAAGTTTAACTCCTTGAAATTAACAGGTAGAAAGTCATATGTAGTATTTACACTTTACCTCTGACCAGCTCACTATAAAATGGTATTACTAGCTACATCTTTGATGTGTGCTATAGTTGTTTTCAGTTTGTTGATCAAGAAATTTCGTAGGAACGAAAATAACGACATTCAGACTGGTAACCTTTGCCATTAGCCCAGATGATCTCAACCAGGGTTTTTTATTGAAGTGGGTGAAATCAATTAATATATTCGTCCCAGAGCAGTATCTTAGAGACAGAGTCAATGACGTTCCTAAATTTTCAGCTGGTGCACAGTGGGATTCTAACTCAGACTGCTTGAAAAAGTGAAAAATCTGCTTAAATACTCTACTAGCCACATATGTTCGCTAGCAGGTGTAGGTATACCTACGCATGATATATGTATATCACCTCTTACACATTGGTTTTGAAACAAGAAACACTCATGAGGACATCGTAAGCCCCGAAAGAATATATAAATCTGGTTAGACTCGCAATGAGTAATTGCTACAAAATTGTATGTGACTTAAAAGTTTGGGAGCATAAATCACAACGTAATAAAAGTCAGCTTACGAGTATTACTATACGATCTGCAAAACCATTTTACGTGAGAACCCCCAACTGAAACACAGAATAATTCCACGTCGTATTAGAAGCAGATTGATTTCCGGAAACTGGATTATTCGGCATAAATCAAAATCGAACGCCAAACTACACACCAAAACAAAGAGCCCGCTTGCAATGTAAGCTTGGATTCACAACTTGGTGCTATAAAACAAATTTGTCATATAGGTTCAAACGGTTAGATAATGGATAAGCGAAGGGTTGACCTTCGGATTTTGGCTTTCTAACGCTTGTTACATCTACATCTGTAGCATCATCTGCGGGCATTCAAAGTTTTCGTCTTTCCAAATATTACACTGTCGGGCGAATATGGGGAACTGTTCTGTTTTTTGAGATATGTTTTTTTAGAGAGACAGGGGGATTTCCGGATTTCCATAGATATGGTTCTTTACTTTTTATATTACTACCCAAAAAGGAAGTGATGGGTTGATTATTTATCATATTCAGGCTCTCTTGAAGCGTAGAGATTTCCGAAACGTTTTATCTCATTCTAAATTTTAAGTTCTTGGTGTAGTAAAATCTGATAACAAAAATTTCTCGAATTATCACCAGTAAACAGCCAAAGTTGATATGGCTTGGGGATGGAACATTCTGGCTCTTTATTTGGATAAGTCTGATAACAGCGAACTACGAGATAGTCGTGTAGCCAACTAATCAAACACCTATCAATGCTGATTGAATACAATCTATCGCGGCGAAATCAGATCTCAGATTTGTGCAGTAAGAACAGAAGGCCCACGGTCTGTGCTATTCCTTTTCCAAGATGCTTCTTTGCGTGTCTTGTCTTCTATTGAATCGGTCAATTGAAGATGCGGACATCACTGCTTCGGGTAACAGGTTCCAAGTATCGATGACTCGGTATGAAAACCTGTATACCACGGGTATTTTGTCCGTTCTTGGATTTTCTAGTTGCCTGCTATGTCCACTGAAATGTCCCTATCTAGTGGGAAGAAAAAGAGAGAATATGTTAGGTCCAAAATCATTTCTTAATATTCTATACATCAAGATTAGATCTCCCCATAGTCTGCGATAGGACAGAGTAAAGAGGTCCAGCTTTTCAAGTCGTTCATTGTATGGTAAACCCCGGAGTTCTGGACTTGCACGAGCAGCTGCCCTCTGTACTTCTTCCGGGATATCCGAGTCACTTTTTAGACAGGGGCTTGCAGCCTGAGCGCAGTTCTCAAGCTTAGTTCTTACTAGGGTTGTGTACACTGTAGTGAACATGGTAATATCTAACTTGGTGAATGTCCGTCCTAAGGCCCATGAGGTTCTAAGCCCTTAGCTTCAACCTACCAGCAGTGGGCTGTGGTCTTAATATCATGACTCACTGTCATCCCAAGATCCCTGTGAGACCACATCACAGGTACGAGTACTTCTATGCAGTAACTATTTATCTTTGTATCCCCAAAGTGCATGTAGACACACTTGGCCACATTGATAAGCATCAGTCACACTTTAGACCAGCTAGTCATAGTATTTCAGTCCACCGTAAGTGCGCATACATCTGTGTCTCCTATTATTTCTCGCCAGATTTTAACACCATCTGCTTATATTAACATTGGGAACTGTACTATACTTGAGAGATCATTTACATACAGTACAAAATGTAAAGAACCTAGAACAGAACCTTGAGATACTCCAGTAAGTACTGGACTCCAGGTAGAGCACTTGCATCTACGCTTATTTTCTGTTAACGACCTACCAGGGATTCATAAGCCATTTTAGGAGAGGTCCGGTAGTGCCTAGATTTTTCAACCTCAAAAGCAGGCAATGTGTTTGCATCTTATCAAATGCTTTCCGAAGTCTGTGTTGACAACATCAACATATTTCTGATTATTTAGAGCCTTTATCCATTGCTACCTTGATATAAGAGGGTTTCTTGTGCAAGATAAACCTTTACTGAAACCCGTGTCCTTTGATGATCAACACACTGTTGGCTGCCGTGAATATGTAGTGGCATTGGACAATAGTCACACAATCCACAAAGCTGTGAACATGAGACTACTCAGAAAACAGATATTCAATACTTAACGCGGAGAAATACTTAACAATGAAGAAGGCGCGAACAATGAATTGAATGGACTGGAGTTGATCGGATGGCATGGCTCGTCCATGCAGGCGTGGTCCATCTCAGTGTTACTCTATATCTTCTATTCATATTAAATATATTGTTCTTTCTGTAGCCTAACCTTGTTCTACATCATATATTGATAATTGATACGATACAATGAGTTGGTGTAGTCGATGGTGTGACTTCCACGTAAGATCTTATAGATTAGGCAGTTATATCATGACAAATCTACGAATTTAGGATTAGGTCTATTATTAGAGCAGTGCTAATATCATAGTAGACCATAGTTCTACAAATATCCGTATGGTCTATCTGACTATTATTTGCAGTAGTTTAACTGCGACACTGGTGAGGCTGACAGGTCTGTAGTTTGATGGAAGTTGTCTTGATCCTGTTTTATGTATTGGAGTGACGATTGAATCCTTGCAGTCCATATGTAACACACCTTGGCCAAGTGACATATTGAATATCGATTACTAAATCCCCTGAATGGCATGGAGAAATCTGGTAGAACTATATGACCTAAACTCCTAGGCTCTAATAACAGAAGCAACTTTCTACAAGTAGTTATCAAGTTTATATTATATGGTCCACATGGAATAAACCCATGTAGGGATTCAGAAAAACCAAATTTTCGGCAGAAGATTTCGGAAACTTACCTACTTACTTTCGCCTGTTACTCCCAATGGAACATAGGCCGCCGACCAGCATTCTTCAACCCAGTCTGTCCTAAGCCTTCTTTTCTAGTTCCATCCAATTCTTGTTCATTCTCCTCATATCTGTCTCCATTTTCTGGCGTAATGTGTTCTTTGGTCTCTCACTTCTCATTAAGCCTTGAGGATTCCATGTGAGGGCTTGCCTTGTGACGCAGTTGGGTGCCTGCCTAAATCTGTGTCCCATTCACTTCCAGTGATTCTTCCCGATTTCTTCCTCCGATGGGATCTGGTTTGTTTTCTCGCACAGTAGGTCGTTACTGATAGTGTTTGTATGATATTGACTGTCTTTTGAGGCACTCCATAGTATCGAAGACGCTTCCATTGTGTTGTTCTGTCCACGCTATCAAATGCTTTCTCGTATTTAATGAAGTTGATGTAGAGTGATGAATTCCATTCAATTGATTGTTCCACAATGATCCGTAGAGTTGCGATTTGGTCTGTACACGATCGATCCTTACGGAATCCCGTCTGTTGGTCTCGAAGTTGGGCGTCTACGGAGTCCTTCATTCTGTTTAACAATACCTCGTTGAAGTCTTTCCCCGGTATTGAGAGAAGAGTGATTCCCCTGTAGTTATCACAGTTGCTGAGATCGCCTTTCTTTGGTATTTTGACCAGAAGTCCTTCTTTTCAGTCTGTTGGTACTTGTTCCTGCTGCTTTGCCACTCTTGATCTGTCTGATGGCCATCCTGATTTCTTCAATTGTTGGTGGGCCAACATTGGTTGGGAGGTCCTTGGGTGCTTCTTCGATGTTGGGTGGGTTCAGTGGAGCTGGTCGATTCAAGAGTTCTTTGAAGTGTTCTACCCATCTGTGTCGTTGTTCTTCAATGTTAGTGATTATCTTGCCTTCCTTATTTTTTACTGGTCGTTCTGGTTTGCGGCGACTTCCAGAGAGTTTCTTTGTTATGTCATACAGTTGTCTCCTGTTTCCTTCTCTTGCAGCCTTTTCCGCCGTCGTTGCTAAGTCTTCCACATACTTACGTTTGTCGGTTCTGATGCTCCTCTTCACTTGCTTGTTAACTTCTGTGTATTCAGCTTGTGCCTTGGTTTTTTCTGCTTTTGTTCAGTGGTATTGATTGCTGCCTTCTTGCTCCTCCTTTCTTGAATCTTATCCAGTATATTAACAGTGATCCATTTCTTGTGATGGTGCTTCTTGTGACCCAGAACCTCATGACATGTTGAAGTGATTGCCTCTTTGATCCCCTTCCAGTTGCTCTCCACAGTAGTTCCTTCTCCATTGAGTAGATCATGAAAGGCCTGGAACTTGTTGCTGAGGGCTATCTTGAATTTGTCGGTATCCCGAAGAAAGGCCGTATTGAACTTTTGTGATATTGTCCGCCCCATTGTCCAGTGCTTCTTGAGTTTCAATTTCATCTTGGCGACCAGCAAGTGATGATCTGATGCTATATCAGCTCCTCTCTTGGTTCTCATGTCCTCTATAGTCCTCCTGAACGTTTTGTTGATGCAAATATGGTCGATTTGGTTTTGCGTGGTGTGGTCTGGTGAAGTCTATGTGATTTTGTGAATGCGTTTATGTGACAATATAATGCCGCGTATGACCAGTTTATAGAAGGCACATAGGTTTGCAAATCTATCACCATTTTCGTTCCTTTCTCCCAGTCCGTGTTGCCCCACGATGTCTTCATATCCAGTGTTATCCGTTCCAACCTTGGCACTGAAATCTCCCATCGGAATGGTCAGGTGCTTTGTTGGGCACTTATCGATGATTGACTGCAGCCTATTGTAGAATTGGTCTTTAGCGTCTTCATTGTAATCGTTGGTAGGCGCATAGCATTGGATGATGTTCATTGAAATGCCCTCTTTCTTTGTTTTGAAGGAGGCTTTGATGATCCTTAGTCCATGAGACTCCTATCCTATAAGTGCCTTTTGTGCTTGTTTGGACAGCATCAATGCAATTCCTTGTGTATGTGGAGTATTTTCTTCTTCATGGCCGGAGTATAACAAAAGCTCCCCTGAAGCTAGTCGTTGTTGTCCAACTTGAGTCCAATGTGTTTCACTGATCCCAAGCACCTCTAGGTTGTATCTCCTCATTTATGCAGCGATTTAGAAGACTCTCCCGGTCTCCCACATTGTACGAATATTCCATGTACCTAAACAAATGGTTGCTTTGGTTGTCAGAAGGGGCATCGGCCTCGTAACTTTCGAAGGAACTCGGCTTTCATCATGAGGCGTCATAGTTCGTCTAAATGAAGACCTTCTGACTCCCAGGGCAAAGTTTAGAAGGTTTGAATAATTTTTTCTGGTTAGCGTTTTTCAGCGAGTTAGTTTTCTACGGGATGGTGTCGCTAACCACATGCCCAACCCTCCTCCTTTATC